TTTATAAAGCCTTTGTATTAGAATATTGAAATAATTATCCTCCGCTTACCTCTTAGGTACAAGTTCAACCATTCCTTTGTTACAAACAGAAACAGATATAATATGATCCTGTCATTATAATAATTAATATACATACCTTTGTTTGTTTTTTTTTGCGGAATCAACAAAGTTTTAGTAGTGAAACAGATTTTTTAAATTATCCTTTAAAAACTAAGTCCTTTCTGTCTTAATCTATGCAATAATATTTAAATTAGTATAGGTTATATATAAATATAGGGAAAAATCTTTTAATTAAAGCAACGGGGACCAAAAATCTAAATAAAAATGAAACCACAAGAAATCCAGAAATATAGTTTTAATTGAAAATATACAAATATTTACATTTTATTTTTTTATTTAAATACGATTATGCGTCAAAGAATATATATAGCCTGATTATTACAAAAAAAATTATACATTATTATAAACATTTCCTTTAATCATTACGGAAGTTTCACATCGACCTCGTATTGCGGCGCAAAAGAAGCGACACACAGACGCGAATTATTTTATTCGATTCATTTAAAAATTAAAACATGTCATTATCAAGGTCTTTGACACGTTTACGTTATTCTAGCGCTAGTTTATCTTTGTTGTGGCGAAATAGAATTGCCGATGTAGATCTTACATTAACATTTCACGGCATATAAATAGCTAGTGTTTCCTAATGGCTTCGCCCGCCTCGTTTAATTTAGTAGAATTACTTTGCTCTCGTTAATCGTAGTGTGATGTAAACTATTTATTACCTTCCTCAATAAATAGGCTATATTTAGCTTACGCAAAATGAATCTTTCAAATCGGATCACTAGTTCCATAGATTAGCGCGTTCAAACAAACTCTTCAGTTTATATAATAAAGTATAGAATTGAAATCCGCTTGACTTTCGTTTTAAAATAAATGAAGAAATTGGTACAACAAAATACTCTATCTTTCTACGTTTTTATCATAAGGGGTCGACAAAAAATATTACAAAAATACATAGGTATATAAAATGGAAACATTTTCTCGTTTTAAGTTATCAATCAATGAAAAATAAATGTGTATACTCAAAGAAATAAAAGTACAGCTTACACGATGGAAATAGGTACATATATAGGTTACCTATCTACTTTAATTACTGTTACTCTACAAGACATTATCGCCATGATATAGTAGGAAAGACAGTTGTATACCTCCATTGGATCAAAAAATCTACTTATTTTGCGAAAAACAAGTCGAATGGTATTCGTAACAACAAGTCGTATGTATTTTATGAAGTATTTAGCACTTCTCCAATTTCTAAGGGATCTACTCCATATAGAAAACATATTTTTCGGAATCAAAATGATAGTCACTTATAGGCACCATAGTAATTTAATAAGTGTCATATAGTAATAAGATGGTTGTATTAGTCATTCTTATCATATTCACGCTAAAACTGCATTTCGCGCCGTTGAAATTTTATGCCAAGCATTACGTATCGCGTACGTAAATCACCACAATGAAAAATATATAACAGCTAGCTACTGATAAACTCTTGGGTAGGTATGGCAACAGCATAGTGACACTTAGGTTGGTACCTACATATAATTAATAAAAAAAGTGATAGCTGTTCCTTGTAGCAACTAGTCAGCAAATAAAATAAATATATATTTAATGCAAAGCTTTATCTTAAATACCCTATTGGTATCCAAAGGTTGTATGAACTAGAAATGAATATTCTCATATATGACTAGCGACTCACTCTCTCTCCGCTCGGGTTCGTTCCTAGTTATGTTTCAGTGCTTAGTATAGATATCTTAGAGATGATATATTTTCAGGAAAAAGTATCTTATATATTGATCGTACCAAATTTTATCATAATCTATCCAGTGGTTTCTCGTGATGCGGTCACAGATAGATTCGGTCTCTGTATCGATAGTAATGTATATTTCAATAAGATTTTCCAAAAAAATATTTCATGTACAGATTCGACTCAGAATTTTATTATATGTATAGATGTAACAATAAATGCACTTTAATTATAGTTACAAATTTCCAAGTTTGCTTGGAATAATATAGATTTTTCATAAAAGAATTGAACATATTAGTGTAAAAATCATATTATAGTAGGGGAGCCCAAGAGGGGATTTTCTGTAGTTACTCGAGCGCGGCAGATTAACATAAAAGAGGTTACCTTGCACTCTATTGAGTACTTTCACCATAATATAAGTCTTCTATATAAGCGTCTAGGGAAGCCGATTAAAATATTTAAAAAATGTTTTGATAAGGTAGAAAAATCATCATAAACTTTATAGTCGATTTTTGCCTCTTCGGCTTGTGCAAATCGGCAGATTATTAAATTGGACACTTTTTAGGATGTGACTAGCCTACCACACCTTAATCTGACGGTTTCAAGTATTTTTACCTAATCAAAACATTTTTTAAATATTTTAATCGGCTTCCCTAGACGCGCCCCTTTATATAGAAGACTTATATTGTGGTGAAAGTACTCAATAGAGTGCAAGGTAACCTCTTTTATGTTAATCTGCCGCGCTCGAGTAACTACAGAAAATCCCCTCTTGGGCTCCCCTACTATTAATGATGTACTTGAACTTGTCATAAGTATACTATGTTATTTTAATTTACAATGTAGCTACAATGCATTGTTGGCATATCTTGTAATAAATAAAAAAAGCAGTCATGAGGACTGCCGTCAGCTATGAAAACGTAAAACTATAAACAAACAGTTGTTATTTTTGTATATCCAAATTAATTGTTTGATCTTAAATTAAAATTTGTACATTAAAACTCTTTACATTTATCTGGTTTTGACATCTATCGGCACTCTGAGTGTTAGCGTTAACACGTCACGTGACCATGTCGATGACAACTTACATGAATTCACTTCCCATCTTAACTTGCCTAAAGAAGTTTTCACTTCAAAAAAATAAAATTAAATAAAAAGTGTAGACGGATGTGTTGGTTCTTCAATTAATTAACCAGTACAATTTAAAAATAATCCTTATCTTAAATATTAATGCTATTAAAGATAGCTCATTTAAATACGATGGCATGTATACATATATGTACATACAAAGTGAATAACGTTTAGCACTTCATAAATAAATCGCAGAGGTATTAATTCGCTGCACGACATACATTTATAAATGTCTCAAGTTCACTAGTACAAAGAGACAAGAAAACAAAACGGACGCCAAGGTCAAGGACCTGTAGTAATTATTGGTCATTATGACGGAAACCACATATTGAAATTAAATGACGTGTTTACTGACAATATTCACGCACACGTACAAGCTTTCACGGAGTGTGAAACTGTATACGCAATAGTTTCAGGTATCCTATAACGAGTAGGCAACTTGAATTGCATAATATAAAATAACGTCACATAATATAAAATTGTAACGAAGCCGAATCTGTACATTAGAAATTTTTTGGAAAATCTTATTGAAATAAACATTATTATCGATACAGAGGCCGAATCTATAGTTTTTAGAATTTTTATCTGTCTGTCTGTTACCGTATGAAAGAAATACCACTGGAGGGATTTTGATGAAATTTTGTATGGCGATAACTGGTTATCCGTGTCAACATATAGGATACTTTTACCGCGGGAAAATGTCTCATTTTTGAGAAAAAAAACTGCAATGTAACAATATACTAATATGTAAAACCTAAGAATTTGGTTTTTGGTCATCTGAACGCGAGCGGAGCCGCGGACAATACTAGTAAATAATATTTATATATATAGGAAATAAATAAAAACAATCGTCACATACACATGTTATATTGCTATTGAGACATCAAATAACATTACGAAAAGACGGAAAATTGATATATACCATTTATCTTAAGGTATCTACGAAAATCTTCCTAATTAGTAACAAATCATAATATGTATCTACTTGACTTTAGACCGATATTTATTCCCAGTTCAATACGCAAGTTGACTTACAAAACTTCTAATTTAATTTCTTATCAAGTTTTTTTTAAATCAAACTTGTTGCGTCATCATTATTTATTAGATGGATTCCATTTAATAATAGCGCAAAATAGAGCGCAATATAACTTGCCCATGCAATAGTAACTGTGCAATACTTAATCGATTCGAAATCTAAATAAACTTTGACCTTTATGTTTCTGATGGGTAATAACTTATTTCTACTTAACATCTATAAAAGGCATTTTGTATATTATAAAAAACTGGCGGCTCACCCTCGCTTCGCTCGAGTTTGCCTCTAAAAAAACTGAAACAAATATCCCACGGAAACTGTATATTTTTACGCCATAAAAAGTAGCTTATATGCTATTTCAAACTATAATCTATATCTGTGTCAAACTTCATCCAAATCCGTTCAGCGGTTCTGGCGTGATTGAGTAACAAACATTCAAACATCCATCTAAACTTTCAAATGTGTTTTATATTAATAAGATGAATACAAAACCTTATTTGTATTCATTAAAATTTATTAAATGCAACTAAAATTTTATTTTTTACATGCCTACTGAAATATGAAAATGTCAATGACTTCGTTGACTAATACTTATTTTGATTTGATAAAATTGTTTGGCATGTATTGTCGTATTAAAATAGTGATCGCTATTTTTAGTCATCTTAGGAATTTATAATGCTTTATAATCTTATCGTACGTATAGTTAGGTACTACGTGCATATATACATTTTACGTCACAGTCACGCTATGATCCCTGCGTAGTGTTTAGTCATAAAGAACCCACGTATTATTTATGCACAAGACGTTATACTTCAGGATAATTAACTGTTATCACTATCGTAAAAATCCATTTTGTCAATTGATAAGAGAATAAATAGGCTTTCTATTAACTTTTCAAGTTAGGTGTTTGCGACATACACTAAGGACTGACGTAGTAGATACATGTGTTGAAAAATATTTTTGATGTCAGTCTGTTTATGCAATTATATCGTTATCGTCAACATATTATTATTCCAAAAAGCATACTATATGGATGATGCTTATTATCCTCGAATTTCCGGACCGTTCTATATACCTCAACCTAATATGCCTCCGGAATGCCGTGAGTAGGATACCAATATATATAATCAATTAAACTTGTATCACCATCTCCTTGAAAAAATTATAAAGTACAAATTAATTATTTTTTTATACACTTACTCCTCCACCTCAAGGTTGCTTTTAGCGATAAGACCCAGTTCTACACATATGTACATCTTTTCTTTGTGTATTATTTTTCGTTGTGTTTGTTTCGTTCTAATATTGTGTATAATAAAGAGTATATGTATCTATCTATCTAAACTAATTCCCAGTTTAAGATTGACTTAAATTGTTATAATAATATAAAACTTACACTATTTCATGTCTGAATTTGATAGCAAAAATATGTGTTTACTTTATCTACATTTTATTAATAAGAATTTTCTTTGTCCGCAGGAATAATGACACTCAGCCGCGGCCCGTGTGACCTGGACAACATGAGTCTGTTCCAAGACCTCAAATTAAAGAGGCGGAAAGTTGACTCCCGATGTAGTAGCGATGGTGAGTTGAATTTTACAATAATTTTGTTCTTTTATAACTTTTTGTAATCCCCGCATATATATTACTCTCAGAGATAAAAACGAGATTATAAAAACTCCACACGCTGTTTTTCTATTCCGACAAATTCTGAGAGAATTTTAGATGGCGTGAAAATGTGCAAGAATCGAACCCGTACCTCCAAAAAATATTCCATTAAAAATACACTTCTTGGGCACTTGGCACTACACGACTTGGGCATTAAAATACATTCTATAATACAATTATATAATTTAGTTAATCATTCGCTATTTAAAGATTTACATAATGAGATATTAATGTGAAATTTTGTGATTGCATTATTATTTTCAACTTAATTCTATATTTTATTATTGTTTTAGAACGCACATGTTTATCAGGCATTTTATAAAATATACAATATTCAATTTTTATATAATTGTTAATTTTACTCTTAACAATAATTTAATAGTTTCAAAGTAAGGTCAAGTCCGTTAATATTCCAAACGAGTCGCTTGACGATCCGATTACGGAGTGCTTATCACTTTCGAATACGATAGTGAACTCGAATGGTAACTCGTAATCACGTTCCGAATCGTTATTACATCTACCTTATTCTAAAAGAATCCACGAATGTAGTGACATTTTTTTTAAGTTTTTTAACGTCAACCGCTCGCTTATACCTACTCCGCATGTTAACTTACTTTTTAGATAACACACGGGAATTAATATGTATTCAGCCCTTTTTAACGTCCCACTGCTGGGCGCGGGCCTCCCTTTAATACATCAAGAATTAATATATCAAGAACTAACCTCTGGTAATATTTGGCTCAAAACTATAGTTTTATATTATGTAAAGCATCACGTTGTGAAAAAAGGCAAAAACCTACGAACATACATCAAAACATTATTATATAACATTATTTTTCTTAACTCTAAAATTATATCACAACAGGTGCTTACGAGGGACAGATACCGATCATACAGTTATTCAGCTTAAATAATAAATAATACTCGTACAATAAATATATAATGTCGCTTTTTATTACAATGATTTTAAATAATGATTTGTAAGAGTCAAAGTTTATCGATATAATCGATTCATAGAGATGTAATGTCATTAATGATTATACAACATTAATGTTATAATCTACTTCAATCGAAAGTTAAATAACAAACCGAGTATAATCCAAACAAGTCACATAAAAGTCGTCAACTTTCACTCAATATAAATTTATTCAAAATACCGGTTCAACAAGTCCAATGCCATTGTAAGAATATGTAAAGTCATAATATTTTTTAATGTTTTTTCTATATATAACTGGTGTCTGGAAATAAAAAATAAGGCTTTTTTCTCACTGAAATTTTGCCGCCAAACGTACCGTGTGAATTTAGCTAAATTTATGCGTACAACTATAAAATGATACTAAAAGTTTTAAGGCTTGTATTGTCGCTTTAGAATTACGACATTGTTGATCATATTTTCTTTCAGTACGTATAAAGCGCCTAACATATAGCTTTAATAAATATTTAACTTTTAAATGTTTCACATTAAAGTGTCAGTTCGAATAAACTTCGTAAATCACAGTGTCACTTTCGACAAACAATGTTTATTTAATATATGGAGTAAAGCCGACTATTTTAATTCAAAAATATTTTTGTCTTAGCTTCGGTAGATGTTTTTTTTTATATTGCAAGAATGTAAACATTTGAGATTAGTAACTACTACTATACTTTGTTTTATTATTATCAAGGTATTAGATTCATTTAGACTTTACTTAATAACTGTTAATGTATATGGTCGTTAATCTATGCAGTTCTGATCTTTACTTACTTTATACATGTAATAAAATCCTGAGTCGAATCTGTACATTAAATATTTTTTTGAAAATATTATTGAAATAGTCATTATTATCGATATAGAGGCTGAATCTTTGTGTAGTTTTTAGAATGTTTGTCTGTCTATCTGGGAACGCATCACGAAAAAACCACTGGACAGACTTTGATGAAATTGGGTATGACGATAGCTTGTTATCCAGATCAATATATAGGATTCTTTTTACTGCGGGAAAACATCAAATCTCTGAGAACTCTATACTAAACGTTAAAACTTAACTAGGGATGAACCCGAGCGGAGCGACATTGAGTCGCTAGTGTGTCATAAAATAATGATATATTGAAAGAAAAGGTTTATTTTTACTATACTTGAAATGGATATATAAAAGTCGAAATTGAAAGTAATTAGTCGACTCTGTGAAAAATTACATGAAAGATGTCCATTGTGATCTCACACATCGCCGGAGTGCTACAATTAATGTGTTTAAGATATGATAAATTAATACACATATGTTATTTTAATAATTCTTCATTGATATAAATAAATAAATTTAAAATACATTTTTAAGTCTGGTAACATTAGTATTTACGATTAAAATTATTTGTTTATTTACACACATTAATTTTAAAATAAATTGCTCAAAAATCTTATAGCAATGAAATTATATAATCATAAAACAATGTTTGAAGCGTTTAATTACTATTTCCAACTTAGCGTGAATCTCGATAACGATGGAGTGACGTGAAGCGACGCGTCGGGGGTGTGACGCGACGCTGTGACGAACGCACCCGGTGTGACGCACCCTCTACTGCGCGTGTTCTACGTACATTTTGCAAGACATAACGTACATGTAACAAAAATTAAGAAAAATGAGATTTCAAACAGAGTCGCTCGAGTTAGAATTGATTGCACTTCTTACGTAGAGTTTTACATAACCGTTATGCAAATTAATGCATGAATATACATATAAATAGCTAAGAATACTTAATTCTTATTAATATTTTAACTGGGAAATGGTAATTATGCTGTAAAAATAATAATATATTAGATATTCTTTTTTTTCTTTCGAATTCATTAATAAATAATAATTTCTAAGAATATTTCTATCGCGAAAATAAAGTTTTGGATTGTATCGAACGTTTATTTAATAGTAATATTTATTAGCATCAGACTGCAAATAATTAATAAACTGATATATATTTTATGACTAGTTCAATTATATGAAACATTGTATATTATACATACATATGATATGTGATATAAGTTCTATTACTAGTAGCATTTCAATGAAAATAATAGATGTGTACAAATTAAATCATCATAAGATACTACAAACTGAAATAATATCATCGGGCTAGGTAAAATCAATATTGTTTCTCTATATAATATGTTTATAGAGACTTAGAGTGGAGAATATTAGATATATGCGATCCGCAGGCCGGCGCACTGACACGTGGCGTTCTGGCGGCGCGGAGCCGGGGGCGGCGGGATGGGTGAGGGTGTGACCTAGTTTCACTCGGTCGCTGACCGCGCGCGACCTTCGCTTGCAACGATCGAAAAAGATACGGCCTATTGAAAGAATTAAAAATTGCGTAATGGCTTTTATTGTTGTTTGTCTACTCGTAAAGCTTCCGCTTACACTTTACTTGTACAAACGACGGTTACGCCGATGCGTTTAAGGTTCAATGATATTCTATTTCAAATCACAGTAGGTACCAAGAATATTATACAATATCTGTCGGTACGTAATAAGCGGCATTCAAAACTAGTACTTATATGAAACGAACTTTCCTAGGACCTCAGCAGCCGATTGCATCACTAGGCTAGAAAGATCGGTCCCCACCAATGATGTGGCAAAGGACGCGGAGTGAAATAGAGATCGTCCTCGAAGCGAGAGCGGTGCACGCGTTGCACTAGTCATTGTGCGGTTGCACTTCGCACGCACGGCCGTCGGAGTGACCTAATAGTGGCTGGAGGGAGGGACCGGGAAGGCGCGGGGAGCGGCCCGCGCTGCCGCTCGTGCGGTAGGTCGGGCTCACTGCGCGCGCCCGCCGCCCGTCGCTGACAGTGGAAAACTTTCTTCGCAACTTTTCCTCGCGTAAACAAAACCCGCGTTAAGATTTTCGCCGTGCTCATACGCTAATATCGCTCCAAATGATCATCGAAATTCAATTTTTCCTTATTATTCAAGTGAGAACGTTTATGATGTTATAGTTTTGAGTTCAATGGACCGAGTGCTTTTGGGATGTAAGATTCGGCACTGGAGCGGGTAATCTACGCATATGGATTTAGTAATAAAAAGTCGGTAATTTTTCTGATTGATTGTTTACGGTGAAAGGAATTGTTAGTAATGTTCAACAAATGGATAAAACTAATTTTAACAATTTATAATATTTATATTACGTCGTAAACATATTGATGGAAATCAACACAATTCTATAAAAGTATGCGAAATTTATATATAACCTGACCGTAGAACCCTTTGTGATGTTGTTGTAGCGCTGTGGGCACAGGCGCAACGCTTCCGGGCGCCGCATCTGCGCTCGCGCCGCTTTCACTTTCTCCTCGCTCGTAGCACCGCATCTCGCGTTCACCCGTTACAACGTGCGATCGTACTTCCTACATTTTCCATATATTTTACTTTCCGTGTTCCGTGTGTTGCATAAATAATTAAAGTAATATAGCTATCTATATTGTTATAATATTTTATTAACTAATATATTATATTCAGCAAATATTTTTATAGAGTTTAATGAATAACATTTGTATTGCGGGCATAATAGCCTTTCTAAACGTTTTGCAATTGTATCCGTGAATTAAATTAGTTTTCTATCTAGTTGGAGCCTCGCTCACATCGTGACGCAACCGGCTAATCTAGTCGGTGGCGGGAAGTGCAGTGTCGCGTCCCTGCGTCGCACCCCGCGCTTCTAACTACGACCACGCCATGCGGTCGTTGACATTTCACCTAGTTTCTATTTGTCACTTATTAAAAGCCCGCCGTGCTCTTATTCTTCTCGAAGATACGGAAGTCTACGAGTGTTGTTAAACGTGCTTTTGTATTCCCACAGGCGAGTCGGCAGCCGACACTAGCACGTCGTCACCAGACCCGGGCCCGCCGTCACCGCGCATGGCCGAGGCCGGATGCAGCACGCCGCCGCACCCACCGCCTGTGTTCGACGGCGGCGGATCGCCTACGCCTTCACCATCGTGCCATCCCACCGTCATCCGCTCTGCACCACCTTATTCAGTTATCAAGTTCGAGGGCGCTCCTGCTGTTAAATTGGAAAGCTCCTCGGCTGGGAAACACGAATCTGCCCCCTCATCTCAACTTTCTTCTGTTAAACTAGAAGCTAACCAAGCAGAGCCTCCTCAACCCTACAGACCCCGTGCTCTTGCACCCCCATCGCATAGTCCCCATACATCGCTTTCACCAGGACATTGGCCACCTGCTGCTTGCATTAATGGTGTCAAACCTGAACTTATTGGTGGAAATTTCCCACCACAACCCTTAGAACCGAAAGGAGGATCTCGAAGCTCTACACAATGGCGAGGAGCACCAGCTGTAATTATGGGCGAATCAGGAGGTGTGCGGACTATGTTTTGGACGTTACCAGCTCCTGCTGCTAGCGGTGAACCGGCAGCGAGTGCTTCACATACTCCGACTCCACCAACGCCAGATCCAGGGACGTGTAGCGAAGAATCAGCGGCACGTCTGTTGCTTAACCTAGGTGGAGAATTGAGGAGACCTAGAGGACCTCGATTAGACATGGAGCTTCTCTGGGCAGGAGATGTCTCGCAATTGCCAGCCCATCAACAAATACATGCGCTAAATTTAAGTGCAGCGGCAGGAAATGTGTCAGGCGTCACTGGTGTACCAAGTGCAAGTCCCTTAGCGAGCCGGTCTGAACTAAGAACGTATGCTCCTGAAGCAGACCGTGATGAAGATGAACAACCAATGATCTGTATGATTTGTGAAGATAAGGCTACTGGTCTACATTACGGTATTATTACATGTGAAGGGTGTAAAGGATTTTTTAAAAGAACTGTACAAAATCGGCGAGTTTATACATGTGTTGCCGATGGTGGCTGTGAAATCACAAAGGCACAACGGAATAGATGTCAATATTGTCGATTTAAAAAATGTATAGAGCAAGGAATGGTTTTACAGGGTACGTACAAAAACTTAAGAATATATCATAATAATTCATGTACCAGTAGATATAGAATATTAAGACTTAATATTAAACCTCATTTTATCTTTATAGCTGTTCGAGAGGATCGTATGCCAGGCGGTCGAAATAGTGGCGCTGTGTACAATCTGTATAAAGTAAAATATAAGAAGCACAAGAAGCCAAATACCAAGGCAGCGACAACAGCCAGTCGCGCGTCTCCACCTGAAAAACCTAAAGAACCTTTACCACCACTCCCACCGAACCTAGTTAATGGGACTATTTTAAAGACTGCATTAACTAATCCTAGCGAGGTAATAATTATTTTTTATTTATAATTAAAATATATACACACTTTATCGACAAGTTTTAAATATATTTGATTTATTCGTAGGTAGTACATTTAAGAGCAAGATTGGAAAGTGCGGTATCGTCCTCTCGAGATCGAGCGGTACCTTTAGAAAGAGCGTTACACATGATTCGAGCGCTTATCGACTGTGACGCGATGGAAGACATTGCAACCGTCCGTCATTTACCTGATCTCCTTCATGACACGTCCGAAATAAGCGATAAACTTTGTAGAATCGGCGATTCTATTGTACATAAAATGGTCGCGTGGACAAAAAAGTTACCTTTCATAATGGAAATACCAATGGAGATCCACTCGAAGTTGTTAATGGAGAAATGGCACGAGATCTCAGTCCTAACTACAGCAGCATACCAGGCCATGCACGGGAAACTCGCCCATGCACCGCCTTCCTCAGATCATGAACACGACTTCATGCAAGAGGTAATTATTTTGCTTACTCTCAATTAAATAAAATAAATAAATATGTTGGGACATTAACACACAGCGCCATCTAGTTCCATGGTAAGCTCCGAGGCTTGTGTTATGGATACCAGATAGTTGATACACTAAATATATATATATATATATATATATATATATATATATATATATATATATATATATATATATATAACTTTAAATACATACATATTATAAATATAAACACCCATGACTAGAGTACACACATTCATGCCCATCACACAAATGAATGCCCTCAGCGGGACTCGAACCCGCGACCGCTGGCACAGCATGTAGGGTCACTACAAACTGAGCCAAACGTGTCGTCAATTGAATTGCTTTAAAACATTCATAAAATAACTGTTTAAAAAATTATAGGGTTAAACCGTTTTCGATCAAATGCTACATCAATCATTTTACTTTTTTTAACTTCAAAAATGTGAAGCCTAAAAATTCCTTTACTTTTATTATGTCAGCTCTTATTATGTAGGTTTCTAATGAATTGGTTCAAATATCTTGTTAGTGGGCCCTCGATTTAAGGTACTCAAATGATCACATTCGCTCCTAAGACTTCCGCCACATGCGCTAGCGCAGTTACGTGATCTGCATCGTTGCGTAACCAATAGAAAGTCGCCTCAGACTGCACTCGGACGTTTGCGCTGCATGGCCCACTCTATTAGAATCGTAAAATGCAATAGTTTCTATTAGTTAAATGATAAAACGAATAATAATGTGCAACCAACGCTCTAAGTGATATCGCCATTGTTTTTCGGGTTACGCCACAGAATTAAGATCATTCAACTTAACCTAATTAGAAAGTTGTTGTATAAATATCTTAATATATAAAACTATCAACATTTTGGCAGAATTTCTATGAATTCTTGCAAGTAAATAGGAAATTGTAAGCTTAATGTTACATATATAACATAAGCGAGGCAGTAGTGCCGGCAGTTACACAAAAAGTGTTTTCATTGTCTAGTGCATTTCCTTCATACTTATATATTGCAATATTACGTAAATCTCTATTCATATTCCGTGCTGCGTTTTCATAATTCTAGATAGATTCATACATCAATGAACTTGGATATATGCATATTAACTATTTTAATTATAATAAATAATTAATTAGAACATTTAATGGAAGCGTGAATTCCGCAATTGTAATTTATTGTACAGAATATTTTTTTTTATGTTTGAAAATTATATTCGTCATTTTTTTTACTTTTTTCGTGTTTCTTTATTTGTTGTCTATTAATATGGCAATTGTTTAACCAAATTAAATTTATTACAGGTAAACGCCAACCTAAGAACATTACAGAATTGCCTAACGTCGCTAATGGGCAGGCCCATAACGTTGGAACAGTTACGGCTAGATGTCGGGCTGGTGGTGGAAAAAATGACTCAGATTACCTGTGTATTCCGGCGTATACAACTTAGAATGGAAGAATACGTATGCTTGAAGGTGTACATACTTCTTAATCAAGGTAAGCTTATGACCTCAGTTCATACAACTTTGACTTATAGGTAAATTGTTGATAAATATATATTCAGCAGGTCATTTTAAAACCTCTAAATAAATAATAATATAAAAATAAATAAGTTTTATATCAATTTTCATATTACATGGCAATGTATACTGTACTAAAATAATAACTTAAATTAAGCTCATTCATGATTCTTATTAATAATAGCAGATAACTTTTGACCTTTTTATACTATTGTAGATAACTTTATACATTTTTCATACAAAACTTCTCAATTTCATTATTATTTTAAACTACTGACCTCTTAATTAACTACCATAAATAATATAGTTTGTTATTGTTACTGGTTTTATTGTATAGTGTTTTATTTACTTCCTTGTTACAAGTACCTACTAAAGCCACCATTTTGCTATTTCGGAGTGTATGAAAAATGTAGTAACATCGATTGATTTCGCTTGACAACGCACGCGGTAATCCACTTATAGACTAGGGTGCATCGCCCCATTATGTAGGTCAGTTACAACGGGCTATTACATAAACTATGCAATTTTATACTTTAAAACTTAGGTATATAGTGACTATTCGTGTTTACCAGATAAATAATGTATTTATGGAGCTGAAGACTTATTGCGCCATATAGAATTTGTAAATAAATCAAGTTATAAGTAATGATTGATAATGCCTACCATACAGTTCAGATCAATGTCGGCGTTGACAGTTCCTTAATATTATTTCATTCCTACAAAAATTATTAAGGTAAACTTTATTCATCTTATAACGTTCAGCGTTTAATAAAATATCCATAGGTACTCCATACTAATATTATAAATGTGTTTGTGTGTTTGTTTATCCTTCTTTCACGTCAAAACGGATTGACCGATTGGCGTAATTTTTTCTGAGGATATAGTTGGATAGCTGGAGAGTGGCCGCAGGAGATTATCTCATTACCACGGGAAAACACGTTATAATGCTACCCAAAAATTATTTATGATTAGAATTACTTGAAACTAGGTATTAATGCTCTTCAATACAATTAAATAAATACGTGTTTTAACATTTTTTTGAAATTCATCCTATAAGAGGGTAAAATAGAGGATGAAAGTTTGTAAGAAACTTACCTCTTTAGAGTTTTTTGTAGTTTTACAGAGGACGAAGCTGCGGGTTTAGCTAGTATTTATATATATTGATTTACTGTAATCAAATTACTATACACTTCATTAGGTCGAAATATACATACCTACTTACCTGAAGTCCTTATAGATAGCAATTTTATTATCTGTCTCTAGTTTTATTTCAATCGGTGCAAAGTTACAGCTTGAACTTCTACGTAATATACAATTCCATATAAAGTAGGCAATACTAAATAGTACAGAGATAAAAAAAATACATTAAAAGCCTCTGATAGAAGCAAGTAGATGTTAAAAATAATTAACTAATCTGTGTTTGTAAGAATTTTAAATATTTATTTTGGTTTATTTTTATTTGGGTATTATTAACATATAGGTTGTATATGTAACATGATGCTGTAATGCAAAATAAACTAATCTTCTTATTTTTAAAACAAATATGTATTGCCATTGTTAAAATATGTTTTGAAAATACAAGAAACAAGCTTTTAACGTTATTAACTAGAAGCTAGTGCAGGAAAAATGACATCTGCCTTATCGATACTGTATGTAGGTCACACGCACACGCTTGAAAATTATTTTCACTGCGTTATAATTACACTGTTTACAAAACGAGACGTATTTCTACGCATTTCGTTTGGAAACAAATTTTAACATGCTTGGATTGAGTTTTAGATTACAATATGGAAAAATTTAATAACTCGCCACGTTTTAATTCTAACAATAATAAGTGTGAACAAATTCAAAAACATATAAACTATTCAAGATTCTTCTACTTTAACACCTCGAGGTAAATTTCTAAGAAATTAATTAAAATTCTAAGTAAATTTCTAAGAAATTAATTAAAATTCTAAAAAATCTATTGTCAACTGACACGCCGGCGCGGTGTCCGCGGTCGTGGAGGGATTAAGATGATGTATAATCCAGTTTATTAGGTATAGTCCAATCAAAAAATAATATAAATTAATAATAAAACTTAAATATAAAATACAGTTTTCCTTTCATGGAGTAGTAAACGTGTAATAGATCTGATTTAACAACGAAAGTAGTATTACAAGCGAGATAGCTATAACGTTCGCCGCGGTGAAATGGAAAGCGCTTGCGCAACGGTTCCGCGGTTGCACGTGTGTGTGTGAAGACAATAAGCTATAAGTTGGGCAACACATTGGAATGCTATAGGAGTTTAATTTTAATGTAATACTGATTTTTATATTCAAAAGACATATAAAAACAACTTACATAGTTATTTGTTTCAAATATATATAAATATAGTTCAATTCATACATAAATTTTCGTAATAAAGCAATAATGTATGTAAATTTTATTATAATTACATATAATATTATGAACAATAGGTATTTTTTTGAATTTGATATTACATCAATGTTTTATATTCCATCAATTTAACAATACGAAATATGAGTATGAATAAATAACGGTTTCCGTAATTCTCTTCTTTATTTATAAAAAAAAAATATTAGAAAAAATGACCAAACCATATTGCAGCAAAGTGTGAACCTGTTAAGCCTATATATTTCCTGGGAGGTGTTAAGGGCCGAACAAACGGATTGTAGCTGTACTCGTATAATAGTTGCGTTACGTCAGTACTAACGGGACTGCATTTCACTCTCGACGAAAAGCAGGCGGAAGCGAACTTTCTCTTTTGCCCCGCGCTCGAAAAAAGCGGATTAACCGCTCGTCTCGCTCAGGCTTGCGTAACCCATGCACGTGACTTAAACGATCACACTAGTGGAATTAGATAATAAAGTCATTATAAATATTAACAATAATTCATTGCCAAATTGCATTGCAATATGAAATTGTATTAATAATGCTAACAAAATCGAATGTTAATATTTAGAAATTTTAATATTCGAACTTGTTAGCATTATTATTAAAATTCGAAGGAACTACCTGTAAAAAGATACAAATACTACAAGACAATAACTTACAATAATATAATATTTACTTTTAATAAGTAATAAAATAAAGATATTATTTACCAAGAACGTCAACTTCTAATTGGTGTGGAACATGTAACGTACAATATCGTAAAGCGCGTGCGAGAGAGATAGCTGCAGCTTGAGGACGCGAGCTCGCTCAAGCGGAGGTCAACGGCTAGCCGCGGTCGTTGCCCCGCTATCGGAGTGACCTACTGAGCGTGTGACGTCATCGCCGCACCGCGCGCTTTGGCATTGCTCGCTCGCGGCTCGACGCAATGTACCGCCATCTTGTAGCGAGTGGAAGAACTAAGGAAATAGTACATTCCAATTCATGTGATGTACTTGGGCGATAATATTTAAAAGAGAATTCTGTTTTATGGCAGATTTAATCCAAATTTATCTTTGCAGAAGTGGAGTTAGAGAGTATCCAAGATAGGTATGTGCAAGTATTGCGGAGTTACTTAGAGCATGCCGCACCCCACCATCCTGGCAGGCTTCAGGAACTTTTCGCTCGGATACCTGAGGTAAAATATAATTTATAATTTAGAAATAGAAATTCAAAGTAATTCGACAGTTCAATAAGCATTTTTGTATTGTTAGTTATCTTATAAAAGCCGTATAGAGAGCAGAGTACTAAATCACTTTCCACAATAGAAAGTAAGCAACAAGAAACCGAAAGCTTGAAACGTAAAATATTGACTCATTATATTCGTGCACTTTCAGATCCAAGCGGCGGCGAACCTGTTGCTGGAGAGTAAAATGTTCTACGTACCGTTCGTGCTTAACTCAGCGGAGATCAGATAGTACATGGCCGAGCAGGGCGTCTAGTTCTCGATGTACGAGCGGCCGACTCCACGCCCTCACGCGCGCCCCCGCCCGCCCCGCACCCTCGTCACCTAGACGTAGACATACCGCCCTGTGTTCACTGTTCACCTTTCTAGCAGTTCGGCCAAAATTCGGACGAACATTCGCACTCGTTTATGACACTCGACACCGAATGCGACAGTGCGTAGACTCTTATAGAGATACTTCTTTGCAATTAGTGGAGTGCGAGGTTAGTGCGTACACTTTTGTTGGATCTATGTGTGGTATTGGCTTATTGTTTAGTAGAGGAAATAAAACGTCCCAATCGACAGACTGATTTATGATTAAATAGCTATTATTTAAGTACCAGGGACTCGGATGCGTGTTTTATACGTGGTAGTGTATACTACTTAGTGTTAAATAGAGTTAAATATATAATTATGTTATTTAATACGTCAATCGAAGAATTGCATAATATATTATTTCTGTAAATATAGATATAGTTTACGTAGATTGTAAGTAATGTCGTTGTTTATAGATAATTGTTTCTTGTAAATGAAATATTGCTGTTTTAGTTTGCATTTTATATCGTCTAGGATTAAACCAGTAGATCACTGGGTGTGTAATATCGAAGATTTTTTATTTTATTTTATATGACTCGTTCATAATGTAAGTAGCACTAAGTACCTATTCTCAGTGTTTACCAAGACTGCTTGTATACAACTGTACTGTTTTTACGCTAACATATTATAGCGCGGTTTCGCGCTCTCTGTAGTCACAATTTATGCATTTTTATTGCCAATATTTTGCAAGACACCTGTGCATATATTGTTGTTCTAAAACTTTTACTTTACTCTGGTCTAACTAGGTATAAGAATCCATAAGACGCGTATGTCAACTTCGCGTGTTTTTGTGGGCGTACTGAAGTGGACGTGGGCGGCTTTCAGTAATAAATCCCCTGGCAACGTTTGAAAAGTTTATAATCGATTTTTTGGTTTAAAAGTATTTCATGATATTACAATACTAAGTATAAAAATAATTGCCGACGTCCACTGTAAATGCTTGAACCGTCTACCCAAATGTCTTGGAAGACGATTCAAGATTTACTTAAGTATTATACTTTGCTTCCTTTGATGTGTTCAAGTGTAATTTATGCTCAATACCATTAATTTTCATCAGACGTCTGCATGATATCATTACCTGTAGAGCTGCTATTAGTATTGTTTGTACCGGTTAAAAGTAAAAATTATGATTATTAAAAAATGGACAATATCAAGAAATATCCGTCATCTGATTGACAAAGACTGCGTGGCCATTAAATAATTTTATACTGTGGCGTATATCAATATTTCTTTTTCATTTCTCATAAAAACTATACCTAATTAAATAGTACAGGCAAAACAATAAAACATTCTTACTTTCACTTTATTATCTAACATCTAGCCATATGAAGAAGGTATCTTTGTAGTAGTTCCACCAAATGATAATAATAATCTACATCCATTGTTGATACAAATTCCAAACATGCACCATGTACCATTCCTTCGTCTATTTACTATGACGCTTTTTTTTTTTTAATCATTTTAACTCATCGTCTTGACCAAAAGTAAAGTTTTCAATGAGCCATCCATTCACATCAAGATAACATACCATTATAACATTAATCATTTAGTCATAAATATACCTATAGCCATTATTTGTAAGAAACAAACTGATTTTCTAACTTCAATATTAGTAATCACTGCCTATTTAATATAAGCTGTTATCAGTGATAACGGTCGAAGTACAGACTGTATACACGTTCGCCACGTGCACTGCTCTTTTAAAAAAAAACTTTTAAAACTTATTAACATGTACACGCACTGTATCGAAATAATCATATTATATAAATTAGGTAGAACTTGATAGTAAATATTTTAATTATAAAATTTTTATGAAGAACCAGTATTTTTCTATGTTTTGCTTGGAAGGAATGTTAAGTTTAGCAAATTTCGATACGTGTATACAGACTTACTGTTTAATGTTAAACATTTTGTTATAGACGTTCCAGCAACGGTGAACAGTTACCATTAGGTTAGGAATGGCGATAAGCGTCGTATTAAAAAAATAAGTAATTACAGCCAAAAAGTTCGTTCTAAGGACTTAGGTTCTAGATATTAAATAATTCATGCCTTAGATCTATAGAGATCGATGTCAGCATACATATACTTAATCAAATATACATACTTTTTCCTTTTCGTTAATAGAAACAAAAAAGTTTAGCCTTTACAACACCCACATTACCTAAATATGTCTCCAGTGACTTAAATCATATATCTGAAGGGTAATATTTGTGATATATATGTATATATTCATACTTGCACTGACTATATTTCAACATTTCGTTATTTATACACATTTGAATAATATTTGTAATAGAACTATAAAGCAAGAACACAGCGCTACATTTAATTCAGGTTTTACTCAAAGACTTACAATTTTTAATATTAAATACTAGTTTTTCTACAATAAAAACCTTTATGGTCTAGTTACATACATTAGATTTGGTAATAATATGTGTAATATCACAAACACCAAACTTTACGTCCGTAATACCTTTACATCAATAGTTTGAACCCGATGTAGAGACGAATTATACTTACGTTTTACGTTTACGGTTTTCTTATTGAAATAAGACAAAAAAATAAGAAAACAAAAAGCGTAACTATAATGTTCTTTCCAAGAATATTTAATTAGCGAATCCTGTTACCTGAATGAGCGAGATGTGTCCGTTCCTCATTGTGTTACCATTATGTAAGTTAGTGGATAGTGTTTTGTACATTGTAATTAGATTCAATACAACCGGTTACAACACTGCCATCAAATGCCTAAATAGATTCTTAATTAATTTTGTTCTACATATGTATACTAAGTTAGTGACATTCGTGAAATTATTAGTTAATTGTGATAAACAGTGATAGATTGCGTGCGCATGAGCTTCAAATTGACAGATGCGTTCCCTATTTTTCTCAATACGATTCGCAGGCGTAAAGTCCGCACCTATTGACAATTGGTTTACACTACACATATTTATTTATATCTAACTTAAATTATAATTAGTCGATATGAGCACCAGCACGACGGTGTTAAATCTAAAGTCTGAGGTAAAGATGCCTTCATAGATTTTTAATTGTGTATGACGGAAATCGTAAGTTTAACTATAGCCGCGACTTGTGCATCGTTCTACTAATACGTTAACGATTAATGTATGTAAGTAATATTGACACTTATTTTGTTAATAGCGTAGGATATTGTTAAGGCGAAACTAAGGGCAGAGTATCAAAGGAAATTTAGATTGTAAGAATGTTATTGGCATTGTACAAAGGATAGTATTGTTAGTGAATTACGATAATGAATTGGCGCATTACTGGCGAGTACCTAATTAGAATAGTACACGAAAAGCCCACTGAGGCTATACAATTATTTGTACATAAAATTTCATGTAAAATAGCCATTCGTTTTTCGTTGCTCTCCTAATGTAATAGCTGGTCTTTTAACAAATTTTAAGTTGCCTCTCTGTATTATCACGTCTTCTGTAATGCTTGTTATTGGGAAGTAATTGAGTAGGTTTGGTATCTCAAAAGTATAATTCAGCTTAAGTAAATCTTTCGATATATTTATAGTAGTTGGTCTCAACGTTCTAGCAGCCGGAACTAGGAGTGGACTCGACTTCAGAATTACTTGTTTCATTTAGAATACTGACAGAAATAACATTCATTTCAGAACTGATTTTGTAATTTAATTGACTAAAACTTAAATAACAGCTCGAGTGATTCAGGAGTCGACCATTTGATTAATATCGCGAAAATATTTTGACTGATATGTAATAGTAATAAACATTATGATGTTAATATATTTGTAAGAGTGTAACAAGAACTTAATGCATTTCACACTTTCTTTAAGGTCCATAAGACGATAAGTAAGTACATCTAAGATATTGTGAAGAACTATTTTCACATTCTTAACTTAAGATTTGTTGTGTATAATAAAAACTAGCGTTTCATGTACTCGGGATGAAAAGAGGGTTGACTTGTGTACATTAGACTTTGTATTAAAATAATTATGAAATAAATCGAGTGTAAAGTCGTAAGAAAATATATATTTGGAAACGTTGACGAGTATTTGTTGTATGTAATTACGTGTCACAGATGGATATTCGAACTCTAAGTATATAAATATACATATATATTATATATCTATTCGACAAGTTATACTTGGTGTTTTATTCAAATATCATTAATCATTTCTGTTACGACTTCACAAACACGTTTCGCTTGTCTTGATAATTTCATGTTAAACATTTTTGTAAGTGAATCTAAAGCCACACCTTACCACGCAGTCTCACAACAAGTGCCTCAAGATCTAAACACATAGATTATGTAGATTTCATAGCGTTCAGAGTGGTTGAGTGTGTCGCATTTTGTAGTTGAGTTCGCTCACAATCAAGACTCGTCGCTTTCAGTACTAGAATACGTTAAGTATATTAGGACTATATTCACGCATACATAGCCGATCACTTAGTTACTGGTTGTTGTACTGTTCTCGGCGGATGAAGGCTGTTGTTATACATTTTCGACCAAGTTAGAATACAAAACTGTTACTTAGTAATTCTGATATTTGTATCGATTTATATGTCTCGTTCGAGTGGTGCGCCGGGTGTTATGTTAGTCAATGGATGAACTGGTTTGCCAAGAGAAGTTACCTACAGTTGTGTTTAGTTAGCGATGCATAACGTGTTTGTACTTTAATTTGTTTTTTAGTTGTACTCTTGGAAATCAATGGTTAATAACTTAAGAGAATAAAATGTATGTGAAATATTTCAGTCTCTTCTTTACCTTATCCCCATTGTTAATAAATTCAAAGACAAAATATTCTCTATAGAAAAATATATTCCGGACAAGTGCGGGTCGGACTCGCCCACCGAGGCCCGAGGGTTCCGTACATTCTAGGAAATCTGTTTATCTTTAAAAAAATTTAAACAAATTTCGTGATTCTAGGTCAACGGGAACTACCATATAGGTTTTCGACCCAAAACCTATGGGGTACTTCCGGTTGACCTAGTTATCAATTTTGGTTAAAAGCAAGGTCTTACAACACAACTAAAGAAAAGGAAAATACCGAAAAAAAAAAAGTTAAAATTTAAGGTAAATGTTGGTACTTACAAGTTTTCGCAAAAATCTAAATTTGCCTATATCTTTTTATTGTGTTGACTCAGGACCTTGATTTTTATACATCTAATAAGAACTATAGACCTCAGTATAAATTTCAACTTGCTAGGTCCACCCGTTCCTCAGAAAATCGGTGGTGACACACGGATGGACAGACGGACAAGAGAGTGATCTTATAAGGGTTCCTTTTTACCTTTATTTAAACTAGCAAAATAGTATCTATAATAGCCTATATGTTACCGACCATATTCTGTGTACTAAATTTCATCTAAACCGTCGAGCTGCGAAGTAACAAACATACAAACACAAATAACTTACTATGTATTATTAATGCGAAAGCATATGTAGTCCAATAGAATTTCAGCCTTCTAAGTCCGTGAGTACCACCGGTTCGGAAGACTTCTGCGGAGTATCACCAAGAATCTTTTGCTTTTGTTTAAATAATATTTACTTAAAAGGTCTTAAATTAAAATTTTGTACTAATATTGCACAATCCGCTAATACCACCATATATACCACCCGTGATATACCACCCATATAATAATAAAATGCTCTACATATCCAATAGTATATTTCAAATTTAAGATTTTAACTGTTCTAGCGCTAAACTTAGTGTTCTTGTGGGATTTTAATAAGTACATAATATGTAAGCTGGGTCTATAAAAACTTATAAAAAACCGACTTCCAGGCACTAAATGTAAAAAATAACTAAACGGGGGTTTTCATTTAGAATAAATAGATACCTGATCAGATATTTTCGAAGTCGGTGATTAAGCAATTTATTTTAAAAAATAATTTTAAAAACAGTCGACCGATTTCGATAAAATTTAAAGGTACCACCTGGGAAGTATACCCTTCGAAACAAAAAAAAATCTCAATCGGTTCAGGCGTCTTCGAGTACTCCGTGAACATACACAAAAAAAAAAAAACAAAAAGAAAGATTCCAACGAATTAAGAACCTTTCTTTTTGGAAGTCGGTTAATAAGTAAACGACTATTCAACGATGTTTTCTGAATTGAACTGAAATGAATTAACAAATATAAAATGGAACATTTACAATTTACATAATAATGTACATGTCAAATTAAAGTAAGTCTAATCTATACTAATACTAAAGAGGTAAACTTTGTGAGTTTGTGAGGTTGTAGGGGTTATATCTGGATCTACTGAATCGATTTAGATGAAATTTGGCAATAAGGATAAGGAAGGATATAGGATACTTTTTATCACGGAAATCATCCCTTAAGAGGGTGAAAATGGGGACGACAGTTTGTATGGGAATCAAGCTATATAGAATAAAGGTAATTTTTATTGTATCATTTTGTGCAACAGACAACGTGTTTGACCGTCTAAGGTCTCGATCCATAGCAGAAGACATAATTAAATATAGATGCCTCATTAGTCTATCACAAATTGAAAATGGTGAAAAACAGAGTTCTACAAATCATGGACATGGATGACAAATAAAAATCATGGATGACAATGCTTCAAATATTGTGCGACAGCTCATTGGATCGGGAATGACGTCTAGAAACATGTATTTAAACCATTTTTCAGCATGTAAAAACTTTGCAAAAATTATAAACAAATAAAGATGAAACAAAAGATGATATTTAGTTTTTCCTGAATCCTTAAAGAGGAGGAAATAGGGAAGAATTTTGTCTTTTTCTGCCGCCAGATGTCACAATCACTATGGCCCTACGTATATTGTAAAACTCTAGTAGACGGATTTCTTTCACTTTATTTAAATTTTAATTAAAACGACGACAACGAAAAAAAATGTATATCATTTGTTACCAAAAGACAAAAACCGAAGAAGTTGTGGGCTAAAGCAATAAGACGACCAAAATTGGCGAAATCTTTATATTTAAGGCTATGTAGACATAATTTTAAAGAAAGTGATTTTAAACTCTTAAATTGTGCACAGGATTTTAAACTCTTAAATTTTTTCTTTTTTTTTCTATTTTACATATTAATTATAGAGTTTCATACAACCTTTTATTCCCGATTTTACCCCCATATGGTATTTAATTTCGAAAAATGCTAAAACAGGTACTTATTTTGTACTAATGTATTGAAGAGCATTGTAATACTACGTTTCAAGTAATTCTGATCATAAATAACTCTTTGCCCATATAAACTTTTTTACTCCCTTTTCATTCAATTCATTTAAGGGATGAATTTCAAAAAAAAAAAAGAATGCATTTCTTATCTTAAAGCTAAACACCACTTTCTGTGTATTTTACCTTAGGAATGACAAAGTTTCATACAATCTTTAATTCTCTATTTTAGCCAGTTAGGAGATGAATTTCAAAAAATGCTTTCTTATCGGATGCCTACATCATATAAGGAATACATTCTCGAAATTTCACGTTTCTACGACCAGCGGTTTAGGCTATGTGTTGATCCATCAGTCAATTAGGACCACCGCAGGATGCAACTCTCCTCAATGCTTTCTTCACTTGGTAGACCAAGTGAAGGTACTTCCAGGTACAATACATTGCACAGATAAAATGCGAACACAATAGAAGCAAAAAAAAAACAGGTTTAAAAGAGTTATCACAATAAATTGCTTAACCTCCGACTGAATGTAAATAGGCAATACGTGTAACACCCTCCTTTCGAGAAATCTTCGTCATTAATTTTCTTTATAATTAGGAGCAAAATAAAATAAAATATAAAGCTATTGATAACGCCATCTATTATGAATAATTAAAAATAAATTGAATGAGTGAAATAAGAGAATATGTAATATAAATCTCTTTTTTTACATTAAATTATTATCTAAATTAAAGAAAAAAAAATAGCTATTAGCTAATAACCGTAATGAAAACAATATTTCTAAACGAATACATAACTGTCTTCGACGCTCTCATGTAATCTTTCTTCTATCAAAAGCTGTACCGCCACATGTCACTGTTCAGCATTTTGTGATTAATCCCTAAATTTTCATTTTAAAAACAAGAAAATGGTAAGTTATTCGTCTATTCTATCTATTGAAATTTTACATTTTTATAAAAGAAAATACAGTCATATCAGTACAATATATACAACCTCGAAAATATTTAATTATGATGTATTTTGCAGAAACCTCTTATGTTGCAAGGGCACGAACGTGCCATCACTCAAATTAAATACAACCGCGAAGGAGATCTTTTGTTCTCTGCGGCGAAGGATTCTAAGCCTAACGTGTGGTGGTCATTAAACGGAGAGCGTCTTGGCACTTTTAATGGGCACGGTGGTGTTGTTTGGTGTCTTGACGTTGACTGGCAATCCATTAACCTGATCACTGGTGGTGGTGACAGTTCCTGCAGGTAATTAAAAATTGGGGTATTATTATAATTTTACTCTATTATTATATTTCTAATACAGAAAATAAATAAAGCACTTCTTATGAAATTTATCATATAATATTTTTGTTTTTATAGGTTGTGGGATCTAGAGACTGGCAAAAATATAGCTACAATAAAAACTAATTCATCAGTAAGAACATGTAACTTCAGCTACAGCGCAAACCAAGCTGCTTACACAACTGACAAGGCTATGGGGCACCCTTGTGAAGTTAGTTTTGCTCTCTTTATTTCTTCATTTTCTCTTTTTTGCACCCTTGTCTATTATTAATTTCTTCTATGTGACCAAAATTTGTGTACTTTTTTTATTATGTTATTTATTCATCATTGAATATAAAACCAAATATATCCTAAACTGTATAACCAATTTTTAATACATAATGATTAAATTGGATCACATAGTCAAGTCATAATACTTCTATACAGAAGAATCAATCCTTATATGGTTTAATTTTACTTTTATATATTTGTACATAATATAGTAATAATATTTATATTTTCAGGTCTTTGTTATTGATACAAGAACAATTGACGAATCTTTATCAACCCAAGGGCCAACATTGAAGTGGGAGATTACAGACTCTAAAGTTACTTCAATGGTATGGGGTGTTCTCGATGAGACTATCATCACTGGTCATGAAGCTGGTGATCTCATTCAGTGGGATTTAAGAGTAAGTATATTTTTATTTTATTGTATGATTTTCATTTCATTTTTAATTTGTAATTATCTTTTTATAAAAAAATCTAATCTATTTTATTTATAACCAGTGAATAGCCCTCGCTCCACTTCGGGTTTGTCTCTAGGTAGAAACGACTTTATCCCATGGGAACCATACACTTTTCTGGGATAAAAGTAACCTATGTGCTATTCCACACTATAATCTATCTGTGTGCCAAATTTCATTCAGATTTGTTCTGCTGTTCTGGCGTAAACGAGTAAATACAAGACAAACAACAACAAACTTTCACATCTATAATATTAGTATGAATGCAAAATTTAAGAAATTACATTGCAAAATTTGAGAAATGTTCTTCCAATCAATCTTAATAATTTTATAAATAGTTTTTAATGTTTACATTTTTGTAACAGACTGGCAAGAAGATACATTCAATTAAAGAACACACGCACCAAGTTAATGACATGCAACTATCGCGGGATGGGACCATGTTCATTACGGCTTCCAAGGATCAAACTGCCAAGCTATTTGACACCAACTCCCTAGAACTTCTCAAGGAGTATAAAACTGAACGTCCAGTCAATTCAGCAGCTCTGAGCCCTATCCTAGACCATGTAGTACTTGGTGGAGGTCAAGATGCTATGGAAGTAACAACTACTTCAACCAGATCTGGAAAATTCGACGCTCGTTTCTTCCATTTAGTATTCGAAGAGGAATTTGGCCGTGTCAAGGGTCACTTTGGACCTATTAACAGTTTGTCTTTCCATCCAGATGGTAAAAGCTTTGCATCAGGTGGTGAAGATGGTTATGTACGTGTACAGAATTTCGATCAATCGTACTTTGACTATACATTTGATTATAACAGAGATTAAGTTACAAGTCGTTTTAGGTCACAATATTGTAAAACAAATTAACAATAAATCAAAACTGAACAGATTTGTAAGTGTTTATTGTTCACATAAAAATATATACAACTGATTGTAAATTAATTACCCAATCTGATCACAGTTTTTCACAAAATAAATTACTTTTCACAAAAATAATTGTTTTATTAGTATATAATAATCATTTTATTGTATGACTTTGAACTAGCTTTTCTTCTTGGCTGTGGTTGCAACAAAAGAAATATTCTTGTGCCTATATAACTCTCACCCAACTTTACTATATACATACCTGTCTTGCTGCTGTTTTGTACTATGCTTTGTCTTAATGTGATATAGACATTTACATCTATGGTTCATTTATACATTGGCCTCGGGCAGGCAAAATTTACTTCTGGCGTCATAGTGATTGCCAGTCTAAGAAGTACACCCTAGAGATAAGACACTGGGACAATCTTTGAAAAGAATTTACTTAAGAGTATACTAATATTATAAAGCAGATGTTGCTTTCAGTTTTAATGCTTATTCTTACAGAATGACCAGTCAAATTTTACAAATTCTTTTTGTATATTATATACTTTAAAGGCAGGTTAAAGACCATTTCACATGCAACCCTTAGGATTATAATTCAATAAACTATGTGAGTGGACCAGGGAGCAAGATCTAGTTGACATATAGGTACATTTGATAAAATGATGCAAAATTTATATATTCGATAAAATGATCAAAACTAAAATACTAGGTCAATAATATGGACTGTTAATGAATGAAAGTTCTTTCATACACTACTGTTTTAAATGTATAAAAAGATTAGGGAAAAAACAATATGAAAGGAAAACTCAATAGACAATTAAGAAATGGTAAAAACCTCTTAATATACAACAATTTATTATACAAAATTTCTATAATGGAATACTTATATAATATTAACATTGAACATAATAGTTATGCTTATAGAAAATATGGTGTTGTGTGTTGTGGAGGAACTTCTCTCTCACTATCAGGCACTGCATGAAAAATCTTGGCATTCCTTTCATTAACTGTTTTAAATTCCATTATCGAAGCTACATTACCACATCTATAGCAATAGTTTGGTGCAGACCAAACGGTAACTAGTCTTTTATCAAACATGTATTTATAACCTGAAATAGACAAACACATTGATTTAATTCTGAATACATATAACAAAAAAAAAGCCGAATGAGAACTTCCTCCTATGATATAATGATGCATTTTAATTAATTAGTATATACAATATATTAAATTAATAATATACCTTCATTCACAAGTTGATGTGCTCGACATATCAAGCTTAAATTATTGTAACTCATAAACAGATTTGTTACATAACTTCCAAATAGCCATCCAGCTCCTCTTGGACTGACAGACCTGTAAATCCAATACATAATATTAATTATAAAAAGCGGTATATAAATAAAACCAGATCATAGAAAGAGGTATATAATATAAAATTAGGAAAACAACAGTTGTAGCTCATTGGTAACACGCTGACTACCATAAATAGGTAGTAAGTAAAACTTTAGATCTCACACCTCTTGAGATGTTTACTTGTAATATTTAGTTTTCATATATGCATTATCGAAAGATGCAAAAAATTTAGAAACCCACATTTAAATGTGTGGTGGACTATAATCAAATTGGCTTGGCATTAAAGGCTCATATTCAAGGAGTAGGTAGGACACTAAGTACAAAGTCGGACACTAAGTGCAAAATCATTTTTATCTTATAAGAACTTAAGCTAATTTGTAATTACCACATCTTGACATCTGCTGGATCAGACCATAATAAATCACAGAAGGCACCCTTGTGTGGAATTTGCTGATTTCTGTCTATACATCTTATTTGATCTAACATAGATATCTCTGGAGATAATCCACCATGAACACAAAGAACTGTCTCATCTATTAACTGTTTTAAAATACAAAGCCATAAGTTAGTTAAAATAGTATTATTTTCTTGAAATATAAATAAATAAATTTTAGAATATTTTTCCAAAAACTTTTTATAATTGTGTTTTAGTTTTCTTATAAGGTATATAACACAAAGGTAAAGTGTAAAAACAAAACAATACCGCTGCAACTGTGAGCAGGTCAAACACTCTACAGCAATCCTTCCAGGCATTTGCATTTCCATATTTGTTTAGACACTCATCATAGAAACCATAAACTTTAGTTATTTGACATGTTTCATGGTTACCTCTAAGTAAAATTATCCTGAAAAATAATGTAAAGGTTAGTTTGTAATTTATTCAGTATATTTAATTATAAAAAAATTACTGGCAAATCTGTTTCATTTAAAATGTATATAGGCTCTTTTGGGGCTCACCTTTCAGGGTATCTAGCTTTTAGTGCCATAAGAAGTGTAAGTGTTTCAAGACTATAATATCCACGATCTACATAGTCTCCCATAAATATATATTTAGTGTCTGGTACTTGTCCTCCTATGTGAAAAAGTTCTTCTAAATCATAAAACTGGAAGTTTTGGGAACAAAAAATATTAATATTAATGGTTAGAAGTTTGTTTTAGCAATAATTTAAGAATATAATTATTAGGTAGTTAAATTGTATTAAGCTCATTTTTCTAAAAAAATCTTGTTTTAAAAAGTTCCAACTAATAATGTTATTATCCTATTGGATAATAGTTATAGGTTTAAAAGATTCATATCCATAAAATATCAGACTTGGGCATAGTAAAAGTTCAAACATAGAAACAAATAGAACCAACCCAGCAAAAATATTACCTGACCATGAATATCTCCACACACCGTTACAGGTGTTTGTACCGGTTGAACATTCGGTTCTTCAAGCAATAAGTCACAAACAATATTACACAGTTCACGGAGATCGTCTTCAGGTAGATATTTACACCTTTTCGCTATTTCTATCCATTTATCGACGTCCCCCATCATTTTGTCAATTAATTTGAATTAAAACTTAAACTTTACAAGTAACTAGTAAGCTCCTCAACAGTTTTTCTTTGATCTAAAGTCTAAACTCTAAAGACAAAATCGTCATTGTCAATGAATGACAATTTATGATAAGTTCAGAAGTCAGACCACAGATATTAAGCGTAGTCCGTAATCACAAAAATGGATGTATTACGCACATGTATTATGAATATGACGACAAGCTGAGCTTTCATGTTCATGTTTTGAATTGAATATAAATTACGTTTTTTGGGGATCATCATTGACCAGATTTTTCATTTCATGAAAACTTCTGGCAGGTTTGGATGGGGAGTAAATTCATGTACAATAAGTCGTCATCAACATGGTCACGTGACGTGTTAACGCTAATACTCAGAGACCAGAATGTAAACAGTTTTAATTTACAAATTTTAATTTAAAGTCAAACAATTAATTTCAATATCCAAAAATAACAACTGTTTGCTTATTGTTTTAAGTTTTCACTTCTGTCGGCAGTCCTCATTACTGCTTTTTTATAGCCATTATTTTATTAGTCAAAATTTAATTAATAAAATTGTCTATAATTTAAAAGTTAGTTAATCTGCTTGTTTGTAATACTTGCATTTATAAAAAAATGATAAAGCAACAAACGATAATATTTAAAAAAATCGGTTCATCAACCGATTAAACTTTATTTAGCTAATACAATATTCATTAAATTTTAAAATATTAAATATCGGGCTAACTTTATAACGAATCTTGATTTCGATGTTGGAAAAACTTTTAAGCCAACATTCGGCCAAGATGATATGTAAGTGACCAATTTATGCTCTTTCCTCAGAATATTCTCTCTTCTTCATTCATCGCTCTTCCTCAACTTTTTTTGAACACTAAAATTTATATTATAATATCACGTTAGTTCCGTGATTACTAAAGAGGAATCTTCCCGAAAATAATAAAATGAACTATGAATGAGTCTTTCTGATTTAGCTTTGTTTAACTTAATATATAAATTTTAAAAACACTCCGATCGTCTTCAGTTTTATTATGGAGCTACTGTAAAATATCGAAGTCCAAATTATATTTTATTTACAATTTTTGAGAAATAATATAGGATAATAGTTAATATTTCTTTTTTATTAATTATTAAACTAAGGATTCAATAATAAATAAAACTTTTACAGATTAATTTAGAAGTTTATTTAACGAGAAAACAAACATGCAAGTACATTTTTTAAATGTTATTACATTTTTATTATTCTTATTTTAAAGTGCTGTTGATATGCCGCTGTGAATGGTTAAACAAAAATATGTATTATGCATTAGAAGTTATATAGGTCTTACATGTATAATTTAAACTGAAAGATTTTTTCAATTGGGACGGATTGGTTTTTAGCAAGTTGAAAAAAGTTTGCGGTATGTTTTCATAAAAGCGTATAATTTAATTTAAAAGACATGTTATTAATAATAATTGATAAGTGACAATTTCAAAAATAGTTATTTTATTTATTTTTTTACGTTTCGTCGCGTGTTTATGAAAACAACCTGAATAATATTCACCTTCCCATCGAAAAAAACCTGTAAGAATCAGACTTCGAAAAATTTAAAACTGTACGTTTTAGGCATTCTTAATTCTTGCAAATAGTTATGTACCCTTTAGAATGTTATCTAAGATGAAAAAAAAAACAACAATTGCGTTTGTAATGTAAACAGATAAGTATTTTAGGTATTAATTAGTTTGCAACGTTAAAACTATTTCCTAAATTGGCCGTTTTCCTTTTTCGATGTCAATTTAATTTCATAAAGAAAAACCAGCCTTTTAGCTACAATATCACTAAGTTCTGGAGTTGCCAAGGCATCTTTAATCACAGAATGCTATTTTTGATAAGCTTTAGGTAAACAAATACGTTTCAACATTATTAAGTGACAAGGATAATAAATTCATGACTCATGAATAAAAATTACATCAAAACTCTTTAAATCAAAATTTAGAGTCACTCAAAACATTGAAACCTACCAAAAGCTCGATAAATAAATAGTGTTGGTCATTTATAATACTAAGGAATTGGTTATCTAAAACATTTCACAACAAAAACTAACGTACGTAATAAAAAGCGTATATCCTAGCAATTTCGAGTTTTAGGTTTTGATTTTCAACATTCAGATATAAAAAATTACTTAAACCCGAGAGAGTACCAAGTGATCACAGATTCTGAAAATTCCGCTCATATCAGTACAAAAGTAACTAACATTTTGAAACGGATTCCCTTATATTACTACGAACAGTGAGAAATTTGATACATGCCCATCGAATTGGAAATCAAAATTTCGTTATAAAAGTTACCTACTTCTACATTAACGTAAACTTTGATTTCTATACCAATGGCTGTAAAAATTATAATTAATTATTAATATTTTTAATGATGATTTTTGTTTAAAGTAAACAAATGGTATCTGTTTGAATGTCAAAAGGCACTGATCAATTCTTCTTATCATAGTAATATTATTAAAAATTGTAGTTTCTCAAAAAAAAAAAACAGTTATCAAACTTTCTGATCTGTGATCAAAATTAAAAATTATACATTTGTATAAAACAATGAGCATGTATCAGTTTTCAGATATTCTATAATACGAAAGATATGCTTAATTATACTGCTAATAATAAAATGTCTGCCAGCCAGTACTTTTAGAATAAAATTACAAATGCATATTTTACTTTGGCAAATAGGATAGATTAACGCACAACCACACTAACCACCATTTAAATACATTTTAAAACAGTAATAAATATTTTATTTTTTTAAAAACACAATAACTACCAAAGTACTGGCGTTCAAACATCGGAATTTGCGGTAGTTTTTGAAATATTCTTTTATAGATTAAAAATAAAAGTGATTTCATTTCTTTTTTTTAATCACCGCATTCTCTTATTATTGTAAGAATGAACACTATCTGTGAATACAGTGAGCATCAGGTGCCAAATTTTTGTATGACCAAAAAGACCCTGTTACAAACCACAAGCTGTATAAAAAATAAGCCTACGATTACTTACCTAACCTCAGTTTTGTTAATATCGAACACCTTTATAGAACAAAACCATATCCATAAGGTTAGGTTTTAAGATTAAATAACTACAAATACAAGTTTCTTATCGTATAAGAACATTATGCATGAAGCCTAACATTAACCTTATACAGAATGATTAAAAAAATAAAAAACAAAATATCTATTAGTCTGTTTCGACATCACTACCAGAAATTTGATATAACTTAAAAACTGTGAAGCGAATAGATCCATAATACAATACCTAAGCGAAAAAACTAATTAAACATAACAGACTTGCCCTTACAAGGCTCAGACAGAGATCCAAGTTCACTATCAGAATGATACAAAAATATCATTTCCAGATAAAAAATAACATGTAATAGTCTTCAATGGTTTAAGATTGATAAAAATTTACCATTAGGTTGTACAATTGTAAATATTTTTGATAATAATTAAAAAAAAGTATAATCTATTGTGTAGATAAACAACAACAATCAAACATTATAACTTCAAAAGATCAGCAATATTTTGCGATGCTACTTATATATTACCCTTTTCCCTACAATTAAGCACAAAGCTAAGAGTAAGGTTAAAAAGTAGCTCAAAGGTAGCATACATTATAAGGCTTCCTTCGAACTACGAAAAGAAAAAAATATATACAAACAAAAAAAAGAAATTAGTAGTGACCGAACCACTCAACGCCTATTTTTAAAAAAAAGGCAAATAATTCAAACTGTCACAACGAAAAATAATTCAAAATGGAAATAAATTCTTAAAACTTTTATGACTTTTAGTGGACCAGCCACATTGCAATGCATTTTATATTATTTTGGCAGGTGAGATGTAAAAAAAAACAGTTATTTAATATTTTTTAAACATCGACTTAAAATGTAATTGGTCTCGCTGTTTTATATAAATAAAAAAAACACTAATAAAAAGCGATGATTGTCGAAAATGCAAATAGTAAGAATCTCAAGATTTGCAGACTGATTCTTAGAATACCGGTTACCGATTGAGTTATAAAGCCTATGGAGTTTTATTGAGATGAGGAAAAATTATAAATCTTATGAATTTATACACATAAAACATAACTAAAATATATGATGTATTAATGTTTTAATTATGCATTAGACCCCTATTTAACAGATACTTTGTAGTTAGATAAGAAACATTACATCATTTATCTATAAATTAATGTGAATATAATTAAATAGACGAAAAAGTGAACAACAGTTTTTATGTATTTTTCTATTTTTGCTACATAAGTTACACAATTTTTATACACTCAATCATCATAGAAATAAAAAAAATGCATTGTCGTGTGACTCAAATATTTTAGGGTTCGGAACACATTGTGGTGTTTAAAACAAATACTGAGGAAGATTACATGACATCGTCGTTAATTTGAATTGACGCCAATAGTAAAGTCCATATTCATAAACGTTTCCTTACAATTATTATATAAATACTAATGTTATGTATTTATTTTAAATTTGGAAGTTTTTTTGCAAAATCAAAAATAAAAAAAAAGTGACAGAGAGACCATCGTAATTATATACATTAATTGAATTTAAGGATTTGTATACACTTTTTTTTAATTTTTATTGTTATTATATCAATTAATTATCAGTAACAAAAAATAATTGTTTGTTTTTGCTATTCTGGAACGTTTATGAATATGAATATGTAAGTCCAAGTTTACTTGAACTGGCCAAGGACAAATGCGTCCATTACTTTGGGGACATGTTCGTCTATTCCAACGATGTCGAGAACGCCCTCGTGGCTGCCATCGGTTGTTGATACTCGGAGAGAAGCCAGTGACATTACAATCAATCTGAAATTAAAACCGATTTTGATTTTTTAAATATTATTTTGAAAACCGGTACAAGATGATCGTTTTTTTTGAATATTTCATGTATTTTCTTATTATTATTATTATTCTTGTTATTATTCTTGGGTAGATATGTGTAATTTTAAACGTGAAGATATTGTGATGGCTTTGAGACTGCGCTCCGAACACATTCCATTAAATAAGTTTGGGTATTTAATGAAGAAAGTTCTTTCTCTTAATTGTCCTGATTGTGGAGTTATAGAGGATGTGTACCATATTTTAATGGAATGTACTCGAAGCGAACCCCTTTTATCACAATATAGCAGATAGGTCAATTGGAATATCTAATATATATCTTGCAAATCCTACTTCAGAGTTAGCCAAAATTATGTATAATATAGGTAAACATAACATACTCGTAAGTAAGCGAAACTAAATAATATTATAACTAATATATAGATAAGAATATTTGTTTAACCTACCAGAGCAACATAGTCGCCCAAGTGACTCAGCTCTTTAAATGAAAATAAAAAAAAAACTTAAGACTATGAAATAATAATGATCGTTGACTACTTGCTATCTTTTGGGCCACTCTTATATCGTAAAAAAATGCCTTGTTAGTATAACATATAGAGTTGTAGATTATGATGTCCTATTTTCGAAAACCCCACTAGGTAAAAATAGTCATTAGTTCATTGACCTGTTTTATCAACCATCATATTGCATATAAAGATTACATTTGCGTTTCCCGCCCATAATTTACTGTACTAAAATATCTTCCAAGTAAATGGTCTCAGTGAGATAAAAATTGAATTGAAAATCGGTTAGTAGCAGTTTTATTCTAAAAACTCCTATAATTTGGTATACTCACTTAGCATCACGCACGGCTTTTTTCCTGTAACGCTCAAGAGCCCTTACAGGGCAATGGTCGGGGATATCCTTGGACGGTGAAGGCGGCGGTCCATACCTGCCGCCTGGTCCACGGCCGCCGCGGGCCGATATGTCCAGCTCCATGTAACGAGTGGTCCGGTCCACCATATTTATGAAAACATCGAACTTCTGATTCTTCTTTGAGGCCCATTCGATCGGTGCGTCCAGTTGCACACGGCCTAGATTTGCTTTCTGACGGAGAAATAAATTATACTATAACAAATGCGCAAGTATGTTTGTTGAGGCATCAAAATTATTATTTTTTTTGATCAACTTATTGTCCAAAAATTGACCTCAATTAATTCAATTGTGTCTTTTTTTGCGTATGTTTCGATACTTTCCTCAATTGTGAGACGATTTTAATAGATTATACTCAAAGCGTTTTCCCATACAAATTTCAAGAAAAATGTCTACTTTAAGAGTGGAATAATAAGGAATATGCGATTTTTTTTATTTTTATTTGATCTATAAGAAAAATCAGTGAGAAAATCAGTTTTAGTTTAAGATTCAACTAACCCTTAAAACAAATTCTGCTTCATCAATGTTGCTGAAATTGCGCTCAATGGAGACAAGGTCTATTCCCTCCTCGGTAAAAACAGCCAGCTTCACATTATTCTCACGTTTCAACAGTTGTAGTGCCAGAATTATAGCTGGAAAAAATTTAGTAAATGTTATTGAATTTCATAAAGAGAATCGATAACCTACAGAAGTTTTACTTCTTGCGCGTGCACACATTCATACACACACTCTTTAATTTCTTATATAAAAATACTTTACCACATCAATATTGGCCTGAGAATGGACTGTGATCAGCACCATAGTGTGGAGCGGCCCTAAAGGTAATAATTAAGCAGTGCAGTGCGGCTCATATTATTTCTAGTACAATTTAATTACCAGCATGGCCAGGAGTGACATTTTTGTTATAAAAGCACTCGGCCAGTAGGTGTTTCTTGCTCTCTTGTTTCTCAGTGTCTGCGTCGCCGCCGGCTCCGGGCGAACTTTTCGCTGTAGTCTTTTTGCCCTTCTTTGGAATCACGTAGTTTTTGCAGAAATGACGACCTATGGAGATTTTCATGGGTTAATTTTTGAAGTTTTGCAGAAAATAATTTTCATGTAGTAGTCGCAAGTTTTTTTTTGTTAATATGTATTTCGTTCTACGATTTTACAGACTGCATAGGGTTTTCTCATAATCGTGCACAGAATTTAAGGACGTAAATAATATATTGTTACTAAAAAAATTCCAACTAGCGAAAATTATTATAGTAAAATATTGACTAAACGACGATAAAAAGACGATATTTTGTTTCAGTAACGATCTTAAACACCTGAACTTGTTTTATATACAATTTTTAGACTAAGGAATATACCTCTTAATTTAACTCAAAATTAAAACTTAGGTATTTTATGGCCAGTCAGTGAAAACAGACATGTTATATTCTCATATAAATTTTTTTTTCTAATTCTTGCAATGCAAAAGCTGTAAAATCGATGTTCGGTATTATTTGTCGTATCGGTCTCGGCATTTGAGAAATAAAGAATTTAAGAAATTTTACCCTTGAACATATGGTGTCTCATATCCAAAGTGATGAGATAACGGGCGTTAGTAGGCGGAGTAAGCAGCCATGTTTGATCAATCAGCTTACTGAGAGCGGCTATCACGGCGGCGTTTGGGGGTTGATCGATACCTATATACAATTTTTAATAATTGACCTATTATAAGTATTTAATTTAACACAAGAAAATTATTTCTGTAAACATAAAAAAAAATTGTTCATGTTTTGATGACTGGAGATTGAAGTTCATTGTTTCAATTTTTGTAATATATTTATCTACTAGCGACTTAGCCTCGCTTCGCTCTAGATACGTTTTAATTTTTTCAAGCCCCACCAGCCCCCAAGAACCCAAATTTTTTTTCAAACTACATACTAACTTACTCCTTATAACATCAATTATCTGCCAGTGAAAGTCCCGTCAAAATTCGTCCAGCCGTTTCAGAGATTAACCGGAACAAACAGACAGACAAAAATTTTAAATATTGTGTTTTTCTTATAAATACCGTACCTATATAATTTCATATGTATTTTGTAAAAAAGCTGTTATTTTCACATTACAAACAGACACTACAATTTTATTTATATATGTACGAAAAAATTATTTGTCACTGCTATCTATTTAAGTAGCATACTTTCTTTAATGGTATAGCGGTTCTGTTACCTTAAAATAGTACTGCATACAAGTCAATAATAATTTTCATAATCATATTTTTTAACCACTCATTTCAAGTAAATGTAATGAGAAATAATAATTATCATAAATATTTGAAGACATTCTTTACACTGACCCCAATACTTAATCTCTTTAGGATGACGTCTGGTGACGGTCCATTCCCACTGACCGGTCTTCGTGTCGAGGATCTGTCGAGTGCGACGGCGCGTTTGTTTCTCTAGAGCTACTTTAGCTTTCTCGTATTTCAACGGTCTGTGGATTAATCCGTATTAATATTATAAATGTGAAAGTTTGAGTATTTATGGATGTTTGTTACTCTTTCACGCCAGAACGGCTGGACGGATCCGGATGAAATTTGGCACCAAGATAGATTATAGTCTGGAATAACTCATAGGCCAGAAAAATTTACGATTCCCGTGGGATAGGTTTGTTTTTGTTTTTGTATTTATATAAATTACAATTATGGAATTGAAATTTATTTACATTTGAAATTAAAATTTAGATACTTATAAATATAAGATATACATATTTTAAATTTGTATATCAATAAATAATTAAATCTATGTTATATAATTTTTGTTTTCATTGAAGTGTTCAAAAAAAGGTTATATATTTTTCTGAGCTCATAAAAATATATGTTGTAATCTAAATATATGTGGTATTCTATTTTTTTATACAATTTTATCAAAACCGGTTACATCATTCATTCAGGTATGAAAACCGAGCTAAGAGACAACCACCCGCAATATACTTTAACTATAGATACAGGATGTATCTATAGCAAAAATCAGTCCTGTTAACCACACTATTAAATTAAAGAATTAAATTATAAAATAATAACTTAAAAATGTTACCTTGTCTTTTTATTATAATTGCACAAAGTGATATAAACTTCAATCGGAGTAACTTTGGACTTTTTGATCAATTCTTGGCTGTTTAGAAGGGAGATTATTATATCTGCGGTGATAGAATCGGCATTTAGGAAACCCATGTTGTGAATACGCTGGATATTGTACAACAGTTGTCCTAAAGAGAATTGTGGTAGTATGGCATTCCATACCTGTAAAAGTATCAAATTATATAACTAAAACACTGCACTATCTGTTTGTCCGTCCATGCAATGAAGAGTTGTTTAATTATTGTTGTTAAAAGATGATGATAGATTATCTTTTAATCCAAAATAAGTAGCTAGTAATAATGTATATAGTCAACTAGCGATACATCCTCGCTCCGCTCGGGTTCTGGTCCCTACTTACGTTTTAACTTTTAGTATAAATTTCTCAGAGACGAGATATTTTCACGTAGTAAAAGGTATTCTATATGTTAGCCCGGATATCATCATACTAAATTTCTTCAAAATCCCTGCAGTGGTTTTTCCGTGATGCGGTCACAGACAAAAATTCTAAAAACTATAGATTCGGCCTCTGTATCGATAATAATGACTATTTCAATAAGAGTTTCCAATGTACAGATTCAACTCACAATGTTATTATATGTGTAGACTAGCAACCTCACTCAAAAAAATAAATATATTTTTATTTGGGGAGGACCACCCTTTTCACCCCTAAGGGGTATGAAACATAGTTAACGTCCTATTCTCAGACCTACTGAATATACACACAAAATTTCATAAGAATCCATCGAACCGTTTCAGAGGAGTTTCGTTACAAACACTGTGACACGAGAATTTTATATATTAGATTGAAATAAAAGTTATGCTGTTTTTAATATAATTTATTACTCATAGTACAATAAAAAGTAAGTGTGCCTTCTAAAATAAAACAATTCATTTTTTTAATTAGCATAATAAAACCATTATCAATATATAGCATGGTACCAAATTAGATTAGAAACTTGTAAAAAATTTGATTTACCTATTTAATATAAATCTTAAATTAATTCACCAAGTGATTGACAGAAATTTTCTTTGAGTTCTTTGTGAGTAGTTTCGTTTTAGTTAATATAAAGAAATTTCACAAAACTATAAAGAATTTTGTTCATATAATGTCTAATGCCTCCTGAAGTATTTTGGCCACAATAGCCAATCTCATAAGATTAGTCTGTACAGGAGAATTTATAGTGCACAAGTATATGCATAAACACAATTGCACTCTATTCATTTTAAACTCTCAAACACCAGTAAGGCGACAACCCATATGAGCCGTGAGAAATCCGGCGCAGGACCAACGGTTTTAAGTGTTCTCCGAGGCACGGGGGTGAAACACCGCCACTTTTCTAACTCTGGGCTATTACTGATAGGGTCCTAATAGAAAAACTCAATAACTTGGCTCAACCTGGGTCTTGAACCCGGGAATTTCAAATCTGCAGCCATACATACTAACCACTGGACCACTGAAGCTGTTATATACTGTTCATATGGATAGATAATAGAGGTTTAAAATATTATTTTTTTAGGGAGAATCTATTGAGATTATAGTTTTTGCTCTATCATAATACAAGTGTTATAGTGCAATCTTACAGCTTTTATAAAATATATAAACTTACCTCCTGCGCTGTCAACAAATGCCCAGGCACATGATCTATTGTGAATTGATTCTGAGTTGCAATAGCTGCGGCTGCTACTGGATCTTCACAATGGCGTAAGTCCTCGACCTTCTGAATGTAATTGAATATATCTTCTGTTCCTGCCGCATTTCCTAATAATTGCTTAGCGCGTTTCAATCCAAATATAGCATACTTGATCACCGCATCCCTAGCTAAAATAAATATTTTAAAATTAAAAAAAAAGTAATCTTCTCTTAAATATTTCGAGCAGAAGAGTAAATACCATTATAAAGTATTATAAATGTGAAAGTTTAAATGGATTTTTACTTATTCACGACAGAACACAGGTACCGAGATATTAGTCTGGAATAGCACATAGGTTACTTTTATCCCGGAAAAATGTATGGTTCCCGTGGGATAGATTTGTTTTCATTTATTACTAGGGACCAAAGCTAAACAAGGGTGCAATAAAGGTACAAGGGTGCAAGGCAGCAAAGCAAGGGTGCGTTGCTAGTTTATACATAAAAAGACTGAATAAAAAGACAATGTGACACCAAATGTTGATGACAAATTAATTCACTTTGCCGATTGCAGTGAAGCAAAAAAATTATTTAATGGCACAATAATAATATTTCATTAACCGACCGATTCCGGCCACGGCAGCCAATCTCATTGAGACTAGCCAACTGTGCAGGAGATATTATAGTGCACAAGTGCACTCTCTATTCCTGTCACTCTCATACTCTGGTGGGAGGAAAATATAAAAATAATAGTTAAGCAAGTGGGATATAATTATCCATAAAGTAAATTAACATTCGCAGAAAATTACAAAAAAATGTAACCTGATAGAGCCCTACACATATTTACCATAGTCATTTTCTGCAATTTTCACATGTGACTTCCGCAAAAGTGTCTTATGAGAACGTCCATGCCTTGCTTTCACTCTTGACATTTCTTTTGCCAATTCCATTGGATCTTTACTAGTATACCATTCCTTTACATGCTTACACCAACCACGGCCATTACCTAGTAATAATTAATTATATTTTTTTGTGAAAAATAGCTTTAAATGTTTTTCTATATTATGCTGTTCAAAAATATAAATGCATTATACTTTTTAATAAAAAAAATCAAGAATTCCTCAAAAATGTGCATGATCTAAATTGTTATAAATGATGCTAAATTTAAGAAATATTAAAGCTTGCACATAATAAAAAAAACTAAACATACCAGTTTGTAAAAGTCTCGTGAATTTATTGAATAGCATCATCTCTTCAGGAGTATTACATATTTCAGTAGCAGCTTTATATGTTGCTTCTTTGACAGCAGGAGAGCTATTAAGGAGACATTTTGTCAATGCGAATGCAATAGTTTCAAATCTTGTATACCATCCATCTTTATATGCCTAAAATTAATGCATATTAAATCATGACATTAGTATAAAAACTACTAATATTACTAAATATGAGTATTTCACAAAATATAAAATTAAAATTACCTTTAAAATGATTTCGACAACCTCAATATTATTCTGTCCATTTTCTAGGGCTTCGTCGATAGCTTTCAATTTATCTGCCTCAAAATAATGAGAGGTCCAGCAACCAGGATAGTACTTTGGAACTTCATTTCCAGTATGTAAATATCTTGTTATACGGTTTCGAAGTTTCGGATCGAGCGATGGTGACGCCGTCATTGTTAAATGTTACTCGCCGGTGTTACTTATGAAGTCTTTGGCGATTCAATGGGTAAATAAGAAATACCAACATGCAAATGCTGTATCATCTAATTCGGTTGTTGAAATTAGGTATGTTTAAACACAATGTTCACCTAAAAAAATTAGATTGTAAGATCATTGAACGAATAGAATATACTTTTTTGTCGGTACTCGAGCGAAACATGTGCCACAATTATTGTGGATGTGGCCAGAAAAAAATGGACAATGGAGGTTGACCTATAGTTTTTCAAATGTAAAGTTTATATATACAATATAGTTCATAAGCTGAAGAATAAAAAGAAGAGATAATAATAAATCAAGTTCAATAGGAACATTAATGATCTAATATCCAAAAATATACAAAATTTTGTCAATCTTACCTTGGTAGTTTCCCTAGCTCATTATTTGACAAATGAATTAAGTATTGCTAGTTTTATTTGACAACAACATATAAAGCCGGTCTACATTTATGCCGAGAGCATAAGCTTCTGTCTTCGTAATCTGTGCTGGGAGCTAGTCTATTGTCTGTCTTCGCCAATACTTTACCAGGTTTCCTTTTTTTTTGTTTATATCGACATGGAAAATAGATAAGATCCAATATCTTTTGAGCGAATTATGTTTCTTTTTTGGTTATTTTATCAAGGGCGAGAATAATAATTATACACATACATTACATAAAGGTTCTTCCACCTGTACCGATTGTACAGGTGGAAGAACCTTTATGTAAATAGGATTAAGGACAGTCGGGAAACAGCTTATGGATTTATGCACGGAAGATAAAATTTCTTTTCCGTGGGTTTATGAGTATAACCTATAAATTCCCAACAAACGATATACTTAATATTAGTGAATTTCTATGGTAATTTATACAGCTCTTGCATTCGGCGGGAGTTTTGCTGTAATTTAAAGTCAATCACCTAAGGTACCCTACCCCAGCCTGCAAATTTATGATATTCGCAATGAAAAAAATACTAATCGATAGATTTTTAATAGCTCAATTCAACTACGTAGCCCTTCCAAATTGCTCACCATTAATTATAAAATTAAAAATCAACAAAGTCCTTGAAAAAAAATTCATTTATCCGTATATTCAAAGTTCTATATCTTTTGATATATACAATATTTTAAATTGCTCAAAGTTCTAAAATACTGCTCAAGTTGCATTTGTAATTGCTCAAGTAGAGTTTTCACTAGCTCCACTTTCCTTAATTATTAAATAAATATAAATAGTTTGAATAAATTTAACGTATAGATAGGTGAGTGCTGGCCTTTATATTAAAGGCAGTTTATATTCATGCAGTTTGTTTCTTTGAAATAAAAATGTCATTAAACTATATGTATATTTAAAAATAAAAAAAGTTCCGTCTTGTATTGATGTTAATAACATTTTACTAATGATCCCTGTCATGGCTATTACCTTAATAGAATAAGCATTTGAACATAAGATTTTGTCTTAATTTATCTGTTGGTATTAATTTTCATTTATTGGTAGATTCCAGATCTGTTCTTTATGTTATAATATCTGAAGTGGAATCACGTAATGTGAACAATTCATAAATTCAATAAATTTAAAGAAATCCACCGAGAAACAGAATTAAGACGTTGAATTGGAACGATTGTCCAAGCCCGCCGAGGCCGACCGACAATGCGCGGTGCGCATGCGCACGCTCACTTAACCTACGTTACATTTATTACAACTATACTTTTAATTATTTAATAATCAGCGAAAATGGAGCTGGTAAAAACTCTACTTGAGCAATTACAAATGCAACTTGAGCAGTGTTTTAGAACTTTGAGCAATTTGAAATATTGTATACATCAAAAGATATAGGAGTTTGAATATACAGATAAATTAATTTTTTTTCAAAGACTTTATTGATTTTTAATTAAATAATTAAAGGTGTGCAATTTGAAAGGGCTACGTAGTTAAATTGAGCTATTGAAAATCTATCGATTAGTATTTTTTTCATTGCAAATATCATAAATTTGCAGGCTGGGGTAGGGTAGGTAATCACCTACTGTATGGATTTTTACACTGTGATAATATACTACGTTTATCACTATCCTATTTAGTCTGTGCTAGGGGTGTCCATTTTGAAAAAAAATCGATGTTTTTTTCGATTCGATAAATCAGAACTGTACATCGATGTCTTTCGATGTATCGGGTGAAAACATCGATATTTTGTACGCAATGAGTACTTTTTCAGGGTTTCGTACCCAAAGGGTAAAAACGGAACCCTGTTACTAAGATTTCGCTGTCCGGCTGTCACCAAGTTGTATCTCATGAACCGTGATATTTAGACAGTTGAAATTTTTACAGGTTATATATTTCTGATGCCGCTATAACAACAAAAACTAGGAAATACAATTCACGGGACACAGACCAGATATGCTACTTCAACACAATTTTTCATGCAAACCATCAATAATTCAAACATTGTTATATTTAAAAAAAAATATAAATTTGAAATTTTTTTATAAAAAAAATAAAAACTTTTTAACAAAAAAATAAAAACCGACTTCAAACAAAAGCACTAAAAAGTAAAAAATAACTGATTGGTAGTTTTCATTTACTATACATACCTAATCAAATATATTCGAAGTCGGTGTGCTTTGCTTTATATGGCCTGGCACTGATTTCGAAAATATTTGATTAGGTATGTATTTAATAGGTAGGCTTTAATTACTTAGCCAAAGCATACCGACTTGGAATATATTTGATTAGGTATGTATAGTAAATGAAAACTACCAATCAGTTATTTTTTACTTTTTAGTGCTTTTGTTTAAAGTCGGTTTTTATTTTTTTGTTAAAAAGTTTTTATTTTTTCCCTGTTTAGTGTAGACAGTAGTAGCAAAGTAAGAATTCTAACGTATTAGGCTTGTCAAATCAAACAAAACAAGCCCAAACTCAAAGTATCTACTATTAGCCGTTGAAGAGTTCCACCTATCCACCTTCTGGCCTTACCATCAGATCAGGTCAACAATACCGAACCACTGTACTATCAACGGAAATAGAAACACTTGCAAAGTTTCAAGTCAATATGACAATTAGAAGTAGGTTAAATTCATCATTAGCCATTTTTCCAGCCTTAGGGGTGGTATTTTTTTTTGAAATTTAAATGGGACCAATCTGGAAGTATACACTTTCAAACAACACAAAAATTGTTCAAATCGGTTAATAAATGACGGAGTTCTGAGGTAACAAACATAAAAAAAAAACATACAGTCGAATTGAGAACCTCCTCCTTTTTGAAGTCGGTTGAAAAATTAGAAAAATCTTTATTGTTATTTACGTAAGAACAATAAAAACATCCGCAATAATTTTGCTTAGTCTGCCATGTCCTATTCCCAGTGTTCTTTTGAAAGACTTTGCAAAAACAACAGTTTATTTAAACGTTTGCCTTTCAGTCTGTTTCGTTGTTGATTGACGATTTGTGCCGCTTTAGAAAACAAACGTTCAGATGGGACTGAAGTTTCTACCATGGTGTTTGTATGCAATTGTATGAAGTTTAGGGTGCTGAATCTTGAGATCATTCCAAATTTCTAAAGGGTTCTCATTTAATTTGCCTACTGGGCTCCGTAAGTAAATAGATAGTTCATCTGAAATTGAATCATCAGATTTCACCGTTTTCCAGCTCTTTTGGACTAATTTGTAGTGATCTTCTCACAGAGAATATTTTTACATAGAAGCTCGCTGGCCGACATGACATGAGCAGTTTTTTTTTGGCACTGACTCGTGCGCAGTGCTGCCAACATATTTTTTTAGTACACGTTGGCCGCAACGACATTATATTCTCAGTCCACTATTGAATAATAAACTTTTCTTTTTTAAATAAAGAAATAGGAAAAATTTTTTTAGGTAAAATTTTAGTGGTCGAACTTGAGTTTTTATGAAATTAATTGGTTATAATCGATTCGATGTTTTTCTACTAAAAACTGAAAAAACATCGATACAAAAACTGAAAAAATATCGAAAGCATTTCAAAACATCGGATCGATTCGATGTATCGCATTGTAAATATCGATGTTTTCAATGCATCGATGTATATCGAATATCCCTAGTCTGTGCTGATTGCCTCAACTGTTTATTTTGATTTTTGATCATGGATGACAAATAAAAATTTTAATTGACAGCTATCAATTATTATTATTATCTAAATAAATACATATTTAATATATTTCTGAAGCGTTCCTAGAAGCCTCGAAATAAAAGAATTGAATTATATTTCTGAAAAAGCAATTATGAATGATGAAAAGCTTCTGAAGACACAAAATTAACCTAGATTTCATTTATTCATTGCTGTAAACTGACAATTATTGTCTTGTGTTGTAAAGAAATTAAAGAATAAAGTTTCTTTATCAATTATTTATATATGAAATTATACACATGAGTTTAGACTTGGAAGAAGCTAACGAAACGCAGCAGCTAATGCAGAATGAAGGGGAAGAAGAGGAACATAAAGTTTCTCAACCTGCAACATCTCCAGTTACGAGTAATAAGATGTCTAGTGGTGCAGCGAGCTTCACATCAAAAAATCCGCACACATTTACAAGTACAGGAAATAATAGTATAAATGATTCTGCTAAAGTGTCCTATGTTAATGAAAGACGGTTGCATCGAGACTTTATGCGCACCAATACAAGCAGACCTAAGAATATGCCTAAAGAAACACCTGATGTAAAGCATATGGAAAAAGCTTTACTAGAGCTCCTTGATGATTTTCACACTGGCAAACTTAGTGCTTTTGGGACTGGGTGCAGTATGGAACAAATGATTAGTATAAGAGACCAGCAAGAACATTTAGCAAGACTTCACTTTCGATTATATGGAGATGCTGAAAAAGCTACTGAGGACAGTTTTGAAAATTCTGCTTCTAAAGATAAAATGGCACAATTAGTGCATAGTTTAGAACAGCTTTCTACATCAATAGAGTTATTACAGTCAGATAGTGGACCTGCTTCAAGTAGTAGTAGTAAAGACTAATTAATAAATGTCTCTATAAAGAATACATGTTTGTAGTTGATAAAATAGATATGAATTTTGAATATTAAAAACAATTATAGTTAATAAAAGTAATTTATGTTGTAATTAAAATAATGTATTTAAAGAAAATTGAACTTGTTATTTAATAAAATTATCATTATATATGTAGTAACAAATGTATCCATATTAATATACTTTTGCTTATATAATGATATATAACTAATAGAGATAACATTCTTATTGTTTTAGTTAGTGGTGTGAGGTTGTTAATTAAAAGAAGTTTTGGTAGAAAATTGCATAGGTTAAATTAAATATTTATTTATATTTATCATATTTGTGTTCAATATTGAGCTTATGTGTTAATTTGTATTTTGTAGTGTAAATTGTAAAGCATATGACAATATATTATGGGGTTATTTTTTGTTTGCTTAGTTACATGATAGATGGCGTTGATATGAAAAATATGTTAAATATGACAAAAATCATTTTACCTTTAATAAAACTAGTTTTGGAGACTTTATCTGGTTTAAATACACATCTCATAAAATGTAAACAACCATCTTAAAAGGACAGTCCGAATTCATTTCTTATTCATTTGTCAAATAAATTAGGTACTTTTTGAAAATGCATTAAGTATTTCATTTTCCTTTATGTACTGTATTTCTTAAGTATTTTTTAAATAAAATCTAATTTTTATTATTCTTACTTTTTGCTACCATTACCCCTGTGGGCTATATTTGACTAAAACTAGTGCTAGGACTTAATATCCGACCTTACGTTATTTTGTTGTAATTACCTTCAAAACATTTAAACTCTCTTGTAGTATTTTTTTATCACAGTATAAATATCCACACAATATGAGATCGTATATTGATAATAAAGGAAATCCGGTCAAATGCAAGGGTTGTCAAAAATACCAATTTTCATAGGGGTTTTTAGTTTCACGCTTCATTTTCGGTTTGCACGAAGTTGCACTTATACCATCTCGTCGCAAGCTACAGGCCTTAGGCGGGTTTTCTTCTCACCCTGACGGTCACCGCTGATGGTCAGCGCTGACTGTACATACATTTGTTCTTACCGCTCGCCGCCCCGCGCTAAGCTGTTGCTGATAGCGGCGAAGTCTTGGCCAGGCTGTAAGGCCATGGCGGTCACAGCTAAGTTCTTAGCGGCGTCGACGCGCGGCATGTACAGCAGAGCAGTGACGTTCGTCAGCCTCAACCGGTCAGCGTTATATGAAACGCTTCATATTAATACATACATATATTGACCTATCAGCGCTGACCGTCAATGTGAGAAGTAAACCAGCCTTAGGCCTTTTCTCAGCTGTCATATAAAAGTAATTATGACAGACAGGTGCGCCTCACCCGCGTCTCACGTCGGACACTCCGTACGACTGCCTTGTCTAGATTTCGTTAGAAGACTGCATAGATTAGCAGATTGTGGTATTTTATTGTTATTTATTTAATTAATGACTTAAATCATGTAACTATTTCAAAATAATGTATGAAATACATAATTACACGATACTTTGATACTGATGTCCATATATTTTCGTTTTCTTTTATGGGTAGACTTTTTTGTACAGAAAATGTTTACCACAAAATCGGTGAGCGGTCTCCATAATAATTTTGTCAAAATACTTAGGTAATAATAAATGTATAAGTAGGTTTGTTAGTTCTTTTGTCTATCATATAATGACAAACGGCGGCGTACGGGCGGAGTGCTATATTAGGGTAGTTTTTACTCCGGTACACCTAGTAGTTCATGGGCATTTATTTTCACGATATAGTCCTACTAATATTATAAATGAAAAGTTTGTGAGGATCGTAAGATTGATGGCTCCAAGTCTTTCACGCAAAATCTACTGAAAGGATTTTGATGAAATTTTTCGATAATAATAGCTATATATTTATACAATTAGAGTAATATACAGGCTATAATTTATAAAGATATATCTAATAATAAAATAATGTAATTTGTACCTACTTCATATTTTAAGTAGCAATAACTGAAGAAATAATTGTTTAATTTAGTGCTCAGATAGATTTTTATTAATTTTGTTTCAGGCAAATAATAAATGTTATTCTTCTTTCTCAAAAACAGAAAATTCTTTTACTTATATTAATTATGTATTCTTTAATAATCCCTCCACGACCGCGGACACGCTGGCGTTACAGGTAACTATAGATTTCTTAGAAATTTACCTGGAGGTTTAATATAGTATTTATTTTAACACCTCCGAGTAAATTTATAAGAAATTAATTAAATTTCTAAGAAATCTATTGTTAACTGTAACGCCGGCGTGTCCGCGGTCGTAGATGGAATATTATACTAATAAATTATGTGTAACTGTAATATATTTCAATGCTTAAATACGCGTAAATTGTCAATCATAAATCATGACATTAATAAAAGCCATTTATACCTTTTATCTGGAATAAAATTTTTCATGAAATGTCATAATCATTAATAATACTTATAATGGAACCATCCGGTAACCGTTCGGCAAAATTGAATAAAGTAAACATTCGTTAATTAAAAGAATATTCTAGAGCTAGAGATATTTCCATATTATACCGGTCTAGGGGATTTAATGTGACAAATATATTTGTATTAAGCGCTGAATTCGGAAAATACCCTATAATATTTGAAGTATTTAAATTATATAGTGAAATTGATAAGAGAAATATTATTTAATGTAATGTATGGATAGATTGAAAAATTTGGGCATGCTGGTTTACTCAAAGTTTAATGACAGTGGTAGTCGATAGCATAAAGTGCTTACATAAGGTCAAAGAGAGCGTGTAGCGTGGAAGTTGCCACGGCAGTACTCAGTCGCTTTGTAAGACTCCGTCAGTGCGAGCGTGCGAGCGGTAATGTAACGCACCCCACCCTTCCAAAAAACGAAACACTTTTCTGTCAAAGAATTTTTAGTATATTTTTTTTCCAATATTCCATCTTAAAATGAAGAATATATAATTTTTTTGGTTCTATAAAAATCAGCAAAATCAAGGCTACGAAAAAAGTTTTTAGTAATAAAGCGGGAAATTTAGTTTCTTTAATCAATTATTCTTTAGTTTATTATTATTGCAAGTGCTATATGAGTGCTCTGTGAAGAGTTTGTGATAGTATTTTTTAAATAATTAATTACTCTCAAATTCCTTTTTATTTTAAGGTTATACGTTAGTTATAAAATAAAAACAGCATTAATATAATATTTAAAAATAATAAGATTGAAATAATATTAGAACAATAAATATTACTACACCGTAACATGGGGTATTTATCCCCTATATAAAATTAAAAACTGACTGTTAAGCTTACAAACGTGATGATCGTGATAATAAATGTATATGTATACATATATAATAGTTGTTCTTATCAACAATTAATCTTAACGATCAAATGTTTCCTTTTACTTGTATGTAAGCTGGAAAAATAATTTATGTGTCAGCTAATTTACCATTCGTATACCATAATTGCTACGTACGAGTTGCGTGTTTGTACGTCTCGTAGCAAGGTCTACGAATATCGTAGCGCTTTACAGAGAAAAAGCTTAATCATGAAATATTAATCATTTCTCTCGTAGTATATAATTTGGGAATCTCTGTGATGGTATTTTTATACAATTATAGTAAAATATCCTAATAAAATTAATATTTAGGATTGAGTCCTTGTTAATTTTCAAGATAAAGAATAATAACACTAACCAAAAATTTGTTTTATGACTATGTACTTAGGTTTGATAAATTAAAGTATCTAATTTATATCACATTATTCGCAAATTATGTTCGAAATGTAAACTACAGTGTATGATAAATATAAGTGTGCGATGGAGAGACGAGAAGACAGAAGAGCACCCCCCCTGCAGGAGCAAGGCAAGTTTTTTTCAACTTTATTGTGATTTGTATTTTTTCAGCCTTTATAGTAATTACATATAACTAACTGCACGATTTTAAAATATTTTTTGAGGCTTACTAGGTTATAATATTAGGTTAGGTAGGTAGAGTAGGCACCCCTCCAACGTGCGTTCACCTTGTCGTGCTGGGGGGGCTCAGTAGTGCCCGGCAATCCAACCGGGCGCGAAGCTAAGAAACGCACAGGGAGGTTGCCCACTTCGGTGGGCGGTGGGAGGTGGCCCTCTTCGGGGGGCGGTGTACCATGCGGGTTGCTCCTGGTACTTCTCTGATAGCAGAGTGGACCTTGGAGCAACCCCATGGTTGTGGTGGTCTGCTTCGGCAGACCTGCCGTCGGGGCGTCGTAGTTGAATGCGTAAGCTATCCTGCGACGCCCCATTAAGACGGGGGAAGGTTTTGTTGGGTTTTAGTGGGTAGTACTGGCTGTATTACGCCGGTGAGCCCCACACGTCATGCGTAAATGCATTTCCCAACGTTAAAAAAAAGGTAGAGTAGGTAGGTGGTAGAGTATGTATTTAAAAAGAACCTACTAGATAATTATACGCAATATTTTATTAAATTGGATATTTGATACAATATAAGCAAAGAAACTTACATTGCTTTTGCAAAATAAAAAATAAATTTTATTTAACGTAAAAGTAGGTATATCGTTAATAAAATTATAATCATTTACTTTTTTCATTGTTATAACTTCCTTTAACTTAAATGATGTATATGATCTTTTGTTTGTTCTAACATTTTACACGGTTAACAAGATTTGTATGAAATATACACAATATTATAAACGTAAATAGTCCGAGCAAGTACAAAGTCTAATAAATAATCTGATTGGGGACTGAAAGATTACTCGTATGTACATTGTACCATATTCAACAGTAAAAGTCGTATTAGATTAAACTAGATTAAAAAAATAAACTTCTTCTAATTTTAAAATAATTCCTATGATGGCTCAATTCATTAATACCTAGAAAAAATACTACGGCAATCTTCAAAGGAAATCGTTTTCTAAAATGGATATTCGACCTAATTTGATAACTTAACTAAATTAGCACGTTACCGTGTGCCAATGTTTAATCTATGAAAAGGAATCTATTGGATAAAAATAAGAAACCCCTTAAAAATAGATTGTTGTCATAAACATATAATTAGTCTTAGTTACATAATACTTTCTTAGATTTATGCGAATATTTGACATTTTAAATAAAACCATCTTTTCGGATTATTTCGCGGTTTTATTTTGATTTTTGGTGCCTTCGAGACATGTAACACCTCAGTCTTTCCTGTGACCATGAATGCTGTAAAGCATTCGAAACGTCAGGAACCAAAAATCAAAATAAATCCGCGAAATAATCCGAAAAGATAGTTTTATTTAATATAGTCTTAGTTACCTTTATAATTACTCTTAGTCCTGTAGCCCGTAGAAACAATTTCTATAAATGTTATTTAACCTTAGTCTATTGACATTGATAAACTATCAAGGGTCTGAGCGTTTCTTTATTGAAATAGAGTTCGTGAAAACTTTATTTTTTACGTTATACGACAATTTTGTGGTTTTATCCATTAGCGAGTTTTTTCTGATAACTTTTCTCCTTGACTTTTCAAATGTATACTGCAGCACCCTAGCTAGCAATCACTACGCCTTTCGTTAGAATATCGTATTAGATGAAATGAAACACGCATACACCTAAATCTATATTCTTATAATAACTTGGAAAAATATATCAAAATTCTTACCAGTTCTCTTCAGCAAAACTGCAATTCGAGTAGATAGTAGGTTTCTGAGTGACGACGTTGACTTACTAATGAAGTATATAATCAATTCCATTATTTACGAAAATTTAATAGTGCCAGTGTGAATTAGACAAGGTAAATATTTACATGCAATTAGTAGGTACATACATATATTTGGCAGTAATCGAACTCGTAACTTCCATAGTATGTTGCTAATCAGACAAACTAATATTGACCAATCCATGATCGTGGTAAGTTATTATATGCAATGTTTGTGTTTATTGTTATTAAAAAAATAATATAGGTAATTTCACTATTTATTAAATTAAGAAAGTTTTAAAATTCATTCAATCCAGTTATTTTTATTATACATTACTATTATTATACGTTAGTATAATATGGCTTAAAAAATTTAGAAACATTTTACCAAAATATCATGTGAGTAAATTCATATACATACATATATAAGTACATAGTATGTATATAACAAAGGCCTAGCACCGACCACAATTAGAAGGCATACCATGCTGAGGTTGGGTTGATACCTTTGGTGTAAATTCCACCATGAGTTTTATGGATATTATATTATTTATTTTTGTTTTATATACTTAATTAT